AAGTAAAATCTCTCTGCCTCCATTTCTTCCCCTTCTATTTGCCAGGAGGTGATGGGACCAGTGGCCATGATCTTCGTTTTTTTGATGTTGAGCTTCAGACCATATTTTGCGCTCTCCTCTTTCACCCTCATTAAAAGGTTCTTTAATTCCTCCTCACTTTCTGCCATCAAGGTTGTATCATCTGCATATCTGAGGTTGTTGATATTTCTTCCGGCGATCTTAATTCCAGCTTGGGATTCATCCAGCCCAGCCTTTCGCATGATGAATTCTGCATATAAGTTAAATAAGCAGGGAGACAATATACAGCCTTGCCGTACTCCTTTCCCAATTTTGAACCAATCAGTTGTTCCATATCCAGTTCTAACTGTAGCTTCTTGTCCCACATAGAGATTTCTCAGGAGACAGATGAGGTAGGAGCAAAATAATAACACTGTACAACAGTGGTTAGATAAAATCAGGCCAAAATGGTTCTCAAGGCAAAATGGCCCTGAGCTCCAGGAGAAGCAGCCTTATACAGGCTTTCTCCTCCCCTTTGCAAGAGCTCATGGGGCAGTTTTTTTCCCATGAGCCCACCACACAAACAATATGCTGGCAAAACCCAGTATTTTGCTGCAATCTATGGAACACAGTGCCATCGGGCAAAAGTGTCTTGTGCTTACTGGGAACAAGGCATAAAAGGCACACAGGGAATCTGGATAATTACATAAGAAAAAATAAGCAAAATTAAGAGGGATATATATAAAGTAAAGTGAAATGAGTAGAATTACTATATAATTCAGTTCCCAAAACAAACAAAAAGTCTTGTGGCAGCTTCAAGACTAATATATTATCATCAGGTACATGAAGTGTTAGTCGAAATTGCAGGTACAGTGATACCTTGGTTTATGAACTTAATCCGTTCCGGAAATCTGTTCTTAAACCAAAGTGTTCTTAAACCAAGGGGTGCTTTCCCATAGCAACGGGGGACTCAATTTACAAATGGAGCACACTCAACAGGAAGCGGAACATGTTCTTAAACCAAGGCAAAGTTCACAAACCAAAACGCCTACTTCCTAGTTTGCAGCGTTCTTAATCCAAGTTGTTCATAAACTAAGCTGTTCTTAAACCAAGGTACCACTGCATATGTACACATGGTTGGGGACTTCTAAACAGTGCAATAGAAGATCCTGAAAATACAGTGAAATTGGGTAACACTTCAGAATGAATAGAATCAACTAATAATAAAAAAATGGTCAAGACTATTCTATGAGTTGATCTCTTGCCATTAATGAATATAAAGGGTTGTATCCAATTCAGCCCTAAGACAGGGTTCCATCAACATAAGGATTGCTGTTAGCACAATTAGCCCCCTTCTTCTTCCCCCATGTGTTCCTGAAATCTATTCTAGGGGTTCCTCCAATCCTCTGGGACAGATTTGGGGAAGGCTCAGGGAAAATCCCATTGCATTCACGCTGACAGGATGAGTTCGTAGAATACCACCCTATAGGTACTGAAGAAAACAAGGTGTGTGGAAGAGAAAGGATGCTGAGGTTTGCTTCTGTCATTGTCAAAGTTGCTTCAGACCGCAGATTATATCAGTTTCCGAAACTTGAAAGGAATTTAAAATGGATTGATTGACATTTTCATGTTGAAAAAGATCACATTGAAATTATTTGTTCCCACCAGAATTATGTGTAACAAAATTTTGTGTTGCATTTAGAAGCATAAAGCTATGCTATGGAATTTGAACTTCTGTTACCAGGAAGAAAAGTCAAAAGAATGTACTGGAGTATTTTCTTGTGTTTGCGTTGTGAACTTTGCTTGTCAAAATTATGTTAATAGTAGGGACATATCTGAGTTGCTTTGACAGCTATTGAACTGGGGACAATAACAATATTTGGAAATTGTCTTCAGTGTGCATGCAGAGTTCAAATTCATGCCAACAAAGTGCCTCAATTGTTGTTTTACAAATTTGAACGCTGAACCCATTTATCTAGGGCAGGAAAGGACTCAGTATTAAGTGATGCAGAGCTATTAATGCGAATCTAAAGCAGTGTCTGGCTTTGGGTTTATAAACATCTGATCTAAAAACTTCATTTGTTTCTGCACTTCCAAAAATGACAGTCCCAGAATGACACAGAAAAAGATAGACAAAAAGATGATTGGATAATCTCTCTAAACCATAATAGTTAAGAATGAAGTATATCTAGCCAGATGTACTATATTTCTGATCACAAGTGGCTGGTGATGGACAACTGGGGCTGGCTACCTCCATTCAGCTTCCAATAAGTTTGTAAATGGCTAGTGTTGGAGCTCTGGTGTGGTCAAAGGAAACAACAACAACAACTTGTATTTTATTCTGATCATGTAATCATATTCAATAGTAAAGGTAAAGGGACCCCTGACCATTAGGTCCAGTCGTGACCGACTCTGGGTTTGCCGCGCTCATCTCACTTTATTGGCCGAGGGAGCCGGCGTACATCTTCCGGGTCATGTGGCCAGCATGACTAAGCCGCTTCTGGTGAACCAGAGCAGCGCGCGGAAACGCCGTTTACCTTCCCACCGGAGTGGTATCTATTTATCTACTTGTACTTTGACGTGCTTTCGAACTGCTAGGTTGGCAGGAGCAGGGACTGAGCAACGGGAGCTCACCCCGTCACGGGGATTTGAACCGCCAACCTTCTGATTGGCAAGTCCTAGGCTCTGTGGTTTAACCCACAGTGCCACCCGCTTCCCAAATCGGATCCTCCTATTCAAGGGTCTGCGTTGCATGCAGGTACTGGTGGAGGAAGAGGAGTGCGGGGGGAGCGCACCGCCCTCGGTAGCACAATCCCATTAGGGAGCCATTGCAGCTGCCCCCCCGCACTGGGCGCCCCGCCCCCAGGACACGTGCCAGCCCCACCCCCACCTGCTCTCTGTCCCCCCCAGTGCCAGAGCATGAAGCTCTGCCACTGCGTGCAGTCCCAGGGCACCTCCCCTACACCCATGGAGAGAAGAGGGGGATGATCCCGAGCCCGCACTGGCCCCGCGATCACACCACCAATTGGTTGGCCAATTAGAGAGTGGTGGCGTGATCGTGGGGTCCTTTAAAAGGCAGCGGCATGTTGTCAGGGCTTCATCTGGCTTCGTGCCGCCAAACAGTGCACCAGAGACCCGCTTCTTCGTGGGGCTCTTGTGGCGGTTAGGCATTGGCTTATTATGATGTGTGGGAGGGGAGGGGAGGCCATCACCTGACCCTCCAGGTACAAGGGTATTCTGTTAGAGGAATCTGTGGGTCTGGATCTTGTCCAAACTCCGCTTGAAGGGCTAGGGCCATGCCAGGACCCAACAGGAACAGGGTGAGCTTCAGTCAGTCGCCATCGACAGACTTCCCTCTGTTGGTCGTTTACCTTTTCAGACTTCCTGAAAGGCGGGCAGGAGTCAGTTATAGTTATTGCCAATGCCTAAGCCAATACCACTTACATTTCTGTAATCAATAAAGTTGTGGCCTAAATTTTGCCCATTAACCTTTCAACTAAAATTCTGTGTCAGTGCGTTTTTATTATTCCTGGGGGGTGCACCTGGGCCTTGTCGCACAATTAGGTTGTATCAACATGTGCACTACAACGCATCCTGTGATGCAGTGTAGCAGTGAACAATGTGTGCATGCATGAAAATGTCATGTGCTTGAAAAGTGCATTGGATGTGCTTTAATTTGGGTGCAGATCCATCCTGAAAGTATGGTAATGCAAAGGTGAACTATCAGGAATTTATGGGCCAGATGACTTTTCTGTAGTAATGACACCTACTTCGAAGAGCATGAATTCATGTTTTCTACTGGTATGGAATTAGCTGGAGGAAGTATGGCTTCTGTGTGGTTTGGAGCTGAGTAAGACAAACATAGCACAAGGGAGGAGACTGGAGCAATGCATTGAGAACAGGCACCTGTTTAGTGGTGGTGGGGAAGTGGACCCCGAGATCATATAACACCAGTCCTGAAAGACCTACATTGGCTCCCAGTATGTTTCTGAGCACAATTCAAAGTGTTGATGCTAACGGCCTCGGTCCAGTATACCTGAAGAAGCATCTCCATCCCCATCGTTCTGGCCCGGACACTGAGGTCCAGCTCCGAGAACCTTCTGGCGGTTCCCTCACTGTAAGAAGTGAAGCTACAGGCAGAGGGCCTTCTCAGTAGTGGCGCCCACCCTGTGGAATGCCCTCCCATCAGATGTCAAGGAAATAAACAGCTAGGTGACTTTTAGAAGACATCTGTTTAGGGAAGTTTGTACTGTTTGAAGTTTTATCGTGTTTTTATATTCTGTTGGGAGCTTTACTATTATTATTATTAATAATAATAATTTTCTATTTTTTCAAGTCTTCAGTTCAGTTTACATTTCTACACCAGTTTGCAATTTTTAAAACAACAAATTCACCAACATTTTAGTGCAAATTGCTCCTACTGTACACATTTGTGGATGAAATTTTGCCTGATATGGACATTTCCCCAAGGCCATTCCCCCACTTCACCCTAGTGCGCACATTACTGGACTGGAGAACTGCATTGCAAAATTCAAATGTGAACCAAACGTCTCTGTCGTCCCTAGGCACTTCATGCCAATCATGTATTTCCTTTGAACCATACAAATAAATTTGTTTGCTTGTGAGGCAATGAAGAAAAATGCACACTGGCAACTTGCACGGATTTTATTGGAAAGTAGCTGAAAGCAAAATAAATTTCATATCATTTGGCATAAATTTTCATTAAAGACTCTGACAAATCCTTCATGAAATATAGTCACTATTCACATCTGACATATAAAGTTTCCAAATGTAATGTTTATGCGTAGAAAGGTTATTATCATAACTGGTATACATAGGGTCTGGGACTTTGATTTAAATGATATAACCATAGACAATAGAAAGGGAAGGTATTAAAAGGAGAATGAGATCTTTTCCGCAATGATATTAAGTAAAAGCAGCTGGGTATAACTAATGTTCTTGATCAGTATGAACAATAAATCCCAATATTTGGACTTAACTGAGTTCTTGCTTATGCTAAAATGTAAATGTGCCTGTCGGTAGGTTTGTTGGATTACGAACCACTTTCTTAGAAGAAACTGATTACTTTTAGAAATAGAAACAGAGTTTTTGTGTGTGCAGAAAGTGCTTAATTTTTACATTGGTGATGCATTGGAATCAGTTGGTTTCAGTTTGCTGCTTATAAGAAAGCCAGATGGAGACAGTGGCTGCCAAAAGTACAGTAGTAAGAGTAAGTAGGATGCCATCTTTATCCTTTTCTAGACTTGCGCTCTAAGCCAGTTCTGTAAATGGGAAACACAGTATAGAACAACTTGTTAATCCAATTATTCATCCGATTTCTGATCTGCCCTTCACCAAATGATCCCAGTAAAACATTCTATACAATTATCAACATATATGTCTGTTATTTTTGTAAGAGATGTCCTTCAAACACCTAGTTTAAGGACAACTGGCAACTTTGCTCCTGCATGTTCATCATGGGATGACAACAACTGCTTTGAAGGCAAGAAGGTACAGTGGTGCCTCACAAGACGAAATTAATTCGTTCCGCAAGTCTCTTCGTCTTGCGGTTTTTTCGTCTTGCGATGCACGGTTTCCCATAGGAATGCATTGAAAATCAATTAATGCGTTCCTAGGGAAACCGCCTTCAGACCAGGTCCGGGGACAGTCTGTCCCCGGACCTCTTCTGAAGGCTGGGGGGGGGGGGACAAGGGCTTTTCTTCCCACCCCCGGCATTTTAAAAAACCCTGGGACAGCGGAGGACTTCTCCGCTGTCCGGGGCGATTTAAAAGCCCCTGGGAAGGCAGGCAGGGGGGACAAAGACTTTCGCCCCCTGCCCGCCTTCAGAAGGTGTCCCCGCCCCCCCTCCCCGCTTCGGAACAGCTTTCCGAAGTGGGGCGGCTGGGGCAGATCTCCCCGCCCCCTCCCCGCTTCGGAACAGCTTTCCGAAGTGGGGCGGCTGGGGCAGATGTCCCCGCCCCCCCGCCCCACTTCGGAACAGCTTTCCGAAGTGGGGCGGCTGGGGCAGATGTCCCCGCCCCCCCTCCCCACTTCGGAACAGCTTTCCGAAGTGGGGCGGCTGGGGCAGATGTCCCCGCCCCCCCTCCCCACTTCGGAACAGCTTTCCGAAGTGGGGCGGCTGGGGCAGATGTCCCCGCCCCCCCTCCCCACTTCGGAACAGCTTTCCGAAGTGGGGCGGCTGGGGCAGATGTCCCCGCCCCCCCTCCCCACTTCGGAACAGCTTTCCGAAGTGGGGCGGCTGGGGCAGATGTCCCCGCCCCCCGCCCCGCTTCGGTACAGCTTTCCGAAGTGGGGCGGCTGGGGCAGATGTCCCCGCCCCCCCTCCCCGCTTCGGAACAGCTTTCCGAAGTGGGGCGGCTGGGGCAGATGTCCCCGCCCCCCCTCCCCGCTTCGGAACAGCTTTCCGAAGTGGGGCGGCTGGGGCAGATGTCCCCGCCCCCCCCTCCCCACTTCGGAACAGCTTTCCGAAGTGGGGCGGCTGGGGCAGATGTCCCCGCCCCCCCGCCCCACTTCGGAACAGCTTTCCGAAGTGGGGCGGCTGGGGCAGATGTCCCCGCCCCCCCGCCCCACTTCGGAACAGCTTTCCGAAGTGGGGCGGCTGGGGCAGATGTCCCCGCCCCTTCGGAACAGCGTTTTAAAATGCTGGGGGTCGGGAGCGAAGCGCTGCCGACCCCCAGCATTTTAAAATCTCCCCGTGTCCCGGGAAGATTTTAAAATGCTGGGGGTCGGGCTGCCGACCCCCAGCATTTTAAAACCTTCCCGGGACACGGGGAGATTTTAAAATGCAGGGGGTCGGCAGCGCTTCGCTCCCGACCCCCAGCATTTTAAAACCTCCCCGGGACACGGGGAGATTTTAAAATGCTGGGGGTCGGCAGCGCTTCGCTCCCGACCCCCAGCATTTTAAAACCTTCCCGGGACACGGGGAGATTTTAAATGCTGGGGGTCGGCAGCGCTTCGCTCCCAACCCCCAGCATTTTAAAACCTCCCCGGGACACGGGGAGATTTTAAAATGCTGGGGGTCGGCAGCGCTTCGCTCCCGACCCCCAGCATTTTAAAACCTTCCCGGGACACGGGGAGATTTTAAATGCTGGGGGTCGGCAGCGCTTCGCTCCCGACCCCCAGCATTTTAAAACCTCACCGGGACACGGGGAGATTTTAAAATGCTGGGGGTCGGCAGCGAACGCTTCGCTCCCGACCCCCAGCATTTTAAAATCTCCCCGGGACAGGGGGAGATTTTAAAATGCTGGGGGTCAGCAGCTAACGCTTCGCTCCCGACCCCCAGCATTTTAAATCTCCCCGGGACAGAGACTTCTCTGCTGTCCCTTGGAGATTTTAAAATGCTGGGGGTCGGCAGCGAACGCATCGCTCCCGCCCGCCAGCATTTTAAGATCGCCCCGGGCAGGCGGGGGGAAGGCAGGCGGGGGGGAGCAAAGACTTTTGCCCCCCGCCGGCCTTCAGAAGAGGTCCTCTTCTGAAGGCCGGCTGTGGGCGAAAGTCTTTGCTCCCGACCGCCAGCATTTCCCTGTGGGCTTTCGTCTTGCGATGCAAGCCCATAGGGAAATTCGTCTTGCGAAGCGCCTCCAAAACAGAAAACCCTTTCGTCTTGCGGGTTTTCCGTCTTGCGAGGCATTCGTCTTGCGGGGTACCACTGTACCAGGTTCAGTTTCTGCTTTCTCCCAGTAGGGCTAGAGAAGAGCTCTATCTAAAACCCTGAAATGTGACTGCCTGTTGCTCTAAGGAACTCTGAGCTAGACTGACCAACTGACTTTAAATATGACAACTTCCTATGTCCTTAAGATAAAATGATCTTGCTCAGGTGTGATCCACTTCTCTCAGAGGAAACTATGGAGTTCTCATTGTACCTATTGTCTCAGACATAATTTTTCTCAAAACAATACATTTCAACTTCTAATCTGCAAGTCTTCAGTTGATGAAGGTGCATGTAACTTATCTGAATGTTTAAGAGCTATAGTTTGCATATTCCCGTTTACTTCAATTGAACTGAATTTAGACCCCATTATTTAAGGGACAATATAACACAGGGAGACATATTTCCCACCCCCATTGTATTTGCATCTGAGGTAATAGTTAAAATGAGATCTTGGACCACATACAAACATTAATCTAAGGATGCAGAAGATCAATAAAGTCCAGAGTTGTATAGACCAGTATGTTATAGCGTCTTCCAAAGGATTTAGACTTCCACTTTCAGCCCTCTTAAAGGTCTATGGCCTTCCCAGGTCACAACTTTCATGGACTCTACTCTGCATGCTTCTCTGCTGTTGATGCCTGGCTGTATTGTGTCCTTGAACTGCAACAATACATACTGATTGTCTGGAAGTGCAAGGTATGGGGATCCCAGTGCTGGGCAGGCACACAATAGCAAGGGTGTCAAATTGGCTCTGCTGTGTGACAGCTCCAAGGTCCTCGCACCTTGTCGCACCCCTTCTCCTCCCGGTAAGTGCCAGCAGCATGCTGGATTTGGAACCTGGAGAGCAGCGATGCCCAACCTACGTTGTCACATGGGCCACTACTGTCTGTGCGTCTGTATAGAAACATCTGACTTTTGTGGGCCTTAATGTAACATACTACATAAATATAAGAGTCAAATTCTTCACTCTGTCCACTTTTGCATCTGACTCTCTAGTCACTCCTGGCATAGAACTCCAAGAAAGTTGCCCATTAGGGAACGTGACCTTAATAGGGGAAGCCATGTAGAATGAGGTTTTATTGTGTGATGTTACTATGCTTTTGCCAAGCAAAATCGGAATATTGGTTTAAATACAGTTTAGCAAAATAGTAAAAAATTGTATTCTTTGGGCTACTTCAGAATATATTTTGAGAATCACCACTGTAACAAGAAAAGGAATCATAAGTAAAAGTTACCCTGCTTTTTGTCTTCCTTAGCTTCTTTTTGAAGCTTGATTGGTCCTACAACCACAGCAACCTTCTCCTGAAGTTCATCTGCATCCCTCTTCTTTCTAGTTAAACATCCTTGGTAGCATCGGGATGAGTAATCATATGCCTTACACACTACTAGTTTGCACCGCAAATAAACTTCATTGTGATAGTTAAGAAACTTAAAGGAGCTGAACATGAAACGAACTTCGTTTCTCCTTGGATTTCCCAGATATCTGAAGGTAGAGTCTCGTGGACATCTGAAAATAAAAGAACCAGGTTTGTTTAGATAATGACTTTAGAGGAATCCTTTACTTAGAAGAATACTAATAGGAGTCATTTCTGGAGTTCTGAAGCATGTTATCTCTGGAGATGAAGAACCATGTTGGGGAAGAATGGGAAGAAACTTCAATAAGTGGGAGGTGGATTTCAGAGAGCAAAATGGAAGACAAATTCAGTGTATATGAAAGCAGTCACTCAAGATACTAGAACTCAGGACCACCCAATGAAGATGAATGTTGGGGGGAAATCAAGACAAGTGAAAGTGCTTCTTCACACAGCACAGCTGATAGTTAAATTTTGGAAGTCACTCCCAGAAGATGGTGATAAGGACCACCAACGTGGATGGGGATTAAATGAATTCATGGAGGTTTGGGCTATCAGTAACTATGAGCACTGATGGCTGTCCTTTGACCTCCACTGTTGAATGCAGTTAAGTTTCTGAATGAGAGTTGCAGGGAATCTCATGTGGAGAGAGTGCTGTGACAATCAGGCCCTGTGTGCAGTCTTCTCAAAGGCATCTGGTTGACCACTGAAGAAAAAGATACTAGACTAGATGGACCTTTGGTCTGATCCAGCAGGGCTTATCATATATTCTTATGTTCTAAATGGGTAGGGGCAACTCCACAAGCCCAGTTGGAGAATGCAGTGGAAGTGGTACAGTGTCTGGAGGACCACAGTGGGATTATGGCTGTCAGTCAGAACAGATTTTTGAATGTTCTAAATGGATATAGTTTAATTTTCTTTCATAGAATTAGGAAGTTAGTCTCAACCAAAAAAGACATCTGGCAGGGACATCATGTATATGCAACAAAACAAAAACACATTGCTCAGTCCAGTTCAATGTATACTTTTGCCTTGCTTTTGTATGAGAAAATTTGGATGATGACACAACATAGCAGCAAACATCCATCTTTATTATTCCATTCAGTAGCAAATATTTGTAGGTAGCATAGTGGGTTCTTTCTAGATTTTCTTTAAAAGTATTATGTCAGAATTAAAATGTGTGCTAATGTTCAAGTTTGAGAGAATAGCAACTCCTCTTGTCCATAACAAAAATAAACATTTAAGTGCATTCCTATGCGTGCCTACTCAAAAATCCAATTGAGCTCAGTATGGTTTACTCTACATAATGTGAATAAGAGTGCATGTTTAGCCTTAAATCTGCTGCTTTATAAGCCAAAAGGCAAGTGTTTCTTCTAAGTTTGTATCTAAACATTTTTATCTAAAACATACTCACCCACTCCTCCATAAGTCATAGGTCAGAGTTGTGAAGTCACCAGAGTTTGGAGATGCTTCACACGTATCTAGAAATAGTACTAAGTTTGGATCAGAACTGTGGAGAGTAGCTTGGAGGTAGAGCGCTTGATTGAGTGACACAAAGTATGGAGAAGAGCGAACTTGATAGTTGAAAGACCACGAATCAAAGAAGGCAAGTGTCACATTGTAACTGCCATGTCCTAGTTCAGTAATGTCAGTGGAATTACGAGCAACAAACATTGTCTCTACAACAGCAGTCTTGTTCATTTCACACATGATGTGAAACTGAAAGTTACTATTTCTTGTAATGATATAACCAGAAGCTGATGTCTTGATTATGTTGGAATAGATGATGGTGTCATTATTTGCCTGCTAAAGGACAGGGGAAAACAATATATGTCAACAGTACACATAAATCAGTAACCGCCATATATAAAACACCCTCTGTACTTAATCACTTTAAAATGTCCTGACATTCCAGACATACAATTATGAAAGTCACCTTGTACGTTCAGAAATTTTATTTTAATTTTTTTGAAAAAGGTAGGAGAGATATAAGAAATGTATGATACTTTAAGAAGCTGAGACTAGAAAGACATATGTAGAAACAGGCAAAAATATTACAACATTTCTTCTTTCCTTTTTTTAAAGGTAATTAATGTTGAAATTAATGGGACGCGGGTGGCGCTGTGGGTAAAAGCCTCAGCGCCTAGGGCTTGCCGATCGAAAGGTCGGCGGTTCGAATCCCCGTGGTGGGGTGCGCTCCCGTTGTTCGGTCCCAGCGCCTGCCAACCTAGCAGTTCGAAAGCACTCCCAGGTGCAAGTAGATAAATAGGGACTGCTTACTAGCAGGAAGGTAAACAGCGTTTCCGTGTGCGGCTCTGGCTCGCCAGAGCAGCGATGTCACGCTGGCCACGTGACCCGGAAGTGTCTCCGGACAGCGCTGGCCCCCGGCCTCTTGAGTGGGATGGGCGCACAACCCTAGAGTCTGTCAAGACTGGCCCGTACGGGCAGGGGTACCTTTACCTTTAATGTTGAAATGACACCTGACTTTCAACGTGTTGGATTTCTTTAAGAGTTTTTAAATTCTTTTTCTTTCTTCTAAAATATGAGTTTTGTGCTCAAAAGAGAAGAAATTGGAGACAACAAAAATGGACTCTACATATACACTTTTTAAAATGCAAAATATTCAAAGGGCCAGAATTAGCTGGCTTACTAAATCTGGGAGACAATTTCAGGAACATATGCTTCTTTCCTCCTCACATCACTTTCTCTTTCTGGAGCAAATTCCCCACTCCTGCTTTTTCTATGATTAAGAGAAATGTCAGAATTTACCTGCAATACTGTCTGCTTTAAATGGTATGGCAAATTGCTGTCATTTTCTCTTTATCCTGGGCTCTGAAACTAATCTGGAATTCTAGTCTCAAATCCCAGTTAAGACTAACATTAAGTAGTGATCATATGGCTCAAGGTCAATTCTGATATTTCTTCTAAACACAGTAAAAGAAAGAGGAGGAATCTGGATTCATGGCAGGGTAGAAAAGAAGCAGTGTGGATTTCCTAAAGGTTCCCATAATGTTAGTGTTTGCTGAACCAAAAGATAGAATACTTTCCCCATTTTTAAAACAGTGAGTTTACAAAGCTTACACAGATAATGGCAGAATGTAGATTTGGTTTTTAAAGCTCTTTTTCTTACCTGTCTTATCGTGCCACACCCACTGAATGGTATATTGAAGACCACATAGTATTGTGTAATCTGAGGTGTGCAGAAAGAGTCTGAAGAATTCAGGTACAGACTCCATTCATGATAACCCAGCAACCGGAGATACGCTTTGCTGATGCGTGCAACCATGTATTCTCCAGAACATGAAAGGGCTAAACGATAGCACATAGAAACAGCATTGAATTGTGTAAAATGCAAACACACTTTTGTTAAATGTAGTTGCTGGATCTTGCATGGGGCCAGCCTCTTCCCACAAGTGTCTTGCATGGAGTTCCAGTTCAATCCAACCCCCCAACCCCATTATGCCATTCTGCAGCTGCATCCAAACCATCTGCTGACTTAATCTCCCTTAGAAAGTCCTCTCAGGAGTGTTTAATTGCATCAGAGAAGGGACAGAACTGAGCAGAATGCTCAAACTTTCCTCTGCCACTTGTTTCCCTCTTTTAGATGATTTCCCCATCTACTTGGTTTCACAGCCACTGTTGAAAAGTATCCCTGAGTCTCAAACACTGTAAGAAAGTGGAAAATTTCAGAAGAAAAGCAACTGGGCAGTGAAGGCTGAATTGTTCCCTTCCCTTCCATCCCTTCCTCTTTGCACATCACCTCCTCCTAAGGTACTTTGCAAAGAAGAAGGGTTGCCTGTGACTTCCTTACCTGTGTCCATGCTGTACCTGTGACAGAAGGTTTATCTTAAACACAATTACATCTCTGTAAGCGTCAGACATTGTATTGAGGTTAGTTAGGTAGATTGCATTTGACTCAGTGCTTGGAATGAACTAGTTTACGAAATTCACAGAATTCAAAATCTTTGAACTACACCTGAAAGCAGTTCCTATAATTGAGGCTGAACTGAATGTGATTAAGTTTCAAGGCTTTGAATTGATTCCAAGGTTCTTACTCATTCTCCCCGATTTTCAAAAGTATATCTTATGGAGAACTTTGAACTTACTTCTGGATTTAACTGCTGTGGAACTTGTAGGAATAGCTGCAGAAACAAAAGCATAAAGTGAAATCTATACGCATTTAAATTCTGCACAATCTAAAAGTGTAGGCATGAGGTTGACTTCTGTGCCATCACCTTTGCGCCACCAGTTCTGAGACGGGCAATATTTTCATCATACATGGTCACTTTAACATTAGGCTTTGGTTATAAACAAAGATAAAAATGGAAGCCATGATTTGGAAGAAGGAGCATTAATAAAAAGGGGCACTCAAAGGCTGAGAGAATCAGACAAATAAGAAAGAAAATGTACCTGTTGTATTAGGTCGTCCGGAAGCTGTGGATAAACAAATAATAAAAATATTCAACTAGCATAAATATTAAGAAAAAGACCCTTGATGTACATAAAATTGTGACATCTGCTGGTTGATATTCTGCATCTATTTTGTTACAATCCAGCAGAACAGATTTCCATAGGATAGTTCCTTGACCAGAGCAACTGACACCCATGCTTTGCTTTCCTGTTGAAACTGGAGGGATGTCACCACAACAAATTATTTGCCTCTTTCTACAGAATGCACCTCCATCTTGGGAGGAGTGGAGAATATTGCACAGATGCCCCTTTAAGGCTTTTTAATAAAAAAATAGGTAAAAATAGGCTTTTTAATAACAATAATAATAAAATGTAATAATGCCAATAGGAAGCCATTTCCCCATTTATTTGGCTTCCTGCAATGAGATCTCCACTGTTAGAAATATAGGAGAAGACTAAATACAAAGGATGGGAAAGTTACCTGAGCAGATGACACCAGCGTCTTCATGATGACCACAATTGTGACTTCCCCAGCCCCGATGGGAGCACAGCTCCAGAGAAGGTTCATTCCCTCTGCAGTTTACATCATCCAGGAGAATCTGGCCAGAGCCATGGCCAAAATGGGCACTTCCTGGTGCTGACAAAGCCAATCCACATCCAAGCTTTCTGCAGACAACCTGTGCGTCATTTAAGTCCCAGCCATCATCACAGACTGTCCCCCAGCTTCCTCTGTAGTTGAGTTCCACACGTCCTTCACACCTGTTGTTTCCACCGACCACTCTCATGGGAACATCTTAGAACAATAAAATATCATTCTTACATAAGCAAGACATGTAAACTCGGGTTCTCCCCATCCCTAACCTAAGCATCAGACTCTACTGGCATCAGGATTTCCACATGTTGACTTTGTGCAGCTCACTAAGAGAGTAGTGGCTGTGGAGGCCTTTTGAATTCATAACTAATGAAACTTAACATATCTCCCCACTTCTATACTGCCTTGAAAAAACAAATGCGTTGTATGTTAGGGGTTTCCTTGCAATAGTGCAAAATATACTCCCCTCCCAAAAAGAAAAGTTAATGTTACATTATTCCTGTCAAAAGAAAAAGTTCTCTGCTTGAACTTGCCAAGCATACTTTCCATGACCTTGAATGGAGCTGTGAACTGCAGTGGACCGAACACGTGTGTTTTGTAAAGGAAGCAATGTGAACGAGTTCCTTTTAGGTCATGCTGAACTTAAACTTAAGCTGGTTCCTTTCTTAAAGGAACTTTCAAGCCTTTGATTTGACTCCAATGTTCTTGCTCATTCTCCCCAATTTTCAGAGGCCAAACACTGAACTTACCTCTGGGTGAAACTGTTGGTTCATTTGACTCAGTGTTTGGAATGATCTAGTTCACGAAATTCACAGAATTCAAAAATCTTTGAACTACACCTGAAAGCAGTTCCTATAATTGCAGGCTGAACTGAATGTGATTAGGTTAATTTTGGGGGTAGAACATTCAGCGATTTTTAGTTCATCTTTAGGTTCATTCTTTTATTTGTCTTTTTTAAATTCTATATATTCTTTTGGCCTCCAAACCTAAGGATTATATTTTAGTCTTCTTAAGTAGATATGATACAGGAGAAAGTTATAAGATTCTGGATGCTGAAAACAAACTGGAAAGGATATTTGGGGTGTACTAGAACTGAACTGTGAACTGAACATGAACTAAACAGCTAAAAGAGGTAAAATTGAATTGAACTAGTTCCTTTTTAAAACAAACTTTCACGGCTTTGATTTGATTCCAGGCTTCTTACTCATTCTCCCCGATTTTCAAAAGTATATCTTATGGAGAACTTTGAACTTACTTCTGGATATAACTTCTGTGGGACTTGTAGGAAGAGCTGCAGAAACAAAAGCATGACTAAAGTGAACTCTATACGTATTTAAATTCTGCACAATCTAAAAGTGTAGGCATGAGGTTGACTTTGCCCCACCAATTCTGAGAAGGGCAATATTTTCATCATACACGGTCAGTTTAACATTAGACTTTGATTATAAACAAAGATAAAAATGGAAGCCATGATTTGGAAGAAGGAGTATTAATAGAAAGGTGCCCTCAAAGGCTGAGAGAATCAGACAAATAAGAAAGAAAATGTACCTGTTGTATTAGGTCGTCCGGAAGCTGTGGATAAACAAATAATAAAAATATTCAGCCAGCATAAATATTAAGAAAAAGACCCTTGATGTACATAAAATAGTGACATCTGTTGGTTGATATTCTGCATCTATTTTGTTACAATCCAGCAGAACGGATTTCCAGTGCTGATTCTCTGTAAAAATAAAGGCACTGCAATGAATCCTGCCTCCTTCCATCCGCATGGCAACCTAGGATCTTCCCTTGACCAGAGCAATTGACACTCATGCCTTGCTTTTCTATTGAAACTGGAGGGATGTCACCACAACAAATTATTTGCCTCTTTCTACAGAATGCACCTCCATCTTGGGAGGAGTGGAGAATATTGCACAGATGCCCCTTTAAGGCTTTTTAATAATAAAAAAATAGGTAATAATGCCAATAGGAAGCAGAAGTGTGGCCACGCAATTTACCCAATAGACTTTATACCATTTCCCCATTCATTCGGCTTCCTGCAATGAGATCTCCACTGTTAGAAATATAGGAGAAGACTAAATACAAAGGATGGGAAAGTTACCTGAGCAGATGACACCAGCGTCTTCATGATGACCACAATTGTGACTTCCCCAGCCCCGATGGGAGCACAGCTCCAGAGAAGGTTCATTCCCTCTGCAGTTTACATCATCCAGGAGAATCTGGCCAGAGCCATTGCCAAAACGGGCACTTCCTGGTGCTGACAAAGCCAATCCACATCCAAGCTTTCTGCAGACAACCTGCGCGTCATTTAAGTCCCAGCCATCATCACAGACCGTTCCCCAGCTTCCTCTGTAGTTGAGTTCCACGCGTCCTTCACACCTGTTGTTCCCACCGACCACTCTCATGGGAACATCTTAGAACAATAAAATATCATTCTTACAAAGGCAAGACTTGTAAACTTAGGTTCTCCCCATCCCTAACCTAAGCATCAGGCTCTACTGGCATCAGGATTTCAACATGTTGACTTTGTGCAGCTCATCAAGAGAGTAGTTGCTGTGGAGGCCTTTTGCATTCATAACTAATGAAACTTAACATATCTACCCAGTTCAATATTGCCTTGAAAAAACAAATGTGTTGTATGTTAGGGGATTCCTTGTAATTGTGCAAAATATACTCCCCTCCCAAAAAGAAATGTTCATGTTACATTATTCCTGTCAGAACAAATAGTTCTCTGCTTGAACTTGCCAAGCATACTTTCCATGATCTTGAATGGAGCTGTGAACTGCAGTGGACCGAAGACGGGTGTTTTGTAAAGGAAGCAATGTGAACCGGAACGAGTTCCTTTTGGGTCATGCTGAACTTAAACTTAAGCTGATTCCTTTCTTAAAGGAACTTTCAAGCCTTTGATTTGACGCCAGTGTTCTTGCTCATTCTCCCCAATTTTCACACGCCTATCTTACGGCAAACACTGAACTTACCTCTGGGTGAAACTGTTGGTTCATTTGTAGGAACGTCTTCTGCAGAAACAAACATGACAAAAGTGAGATCTTTTGGCATTAAAATTCTGCACCATCTAAAACTGTAGGCATGAGGTTGACTTCTGTACCGTCACTTGGGCCAAACCAATGACGAGCAGGTCAATATTACCACCATACATGGTCCAATGAGCCTGTTTAGCACTGGGCTTTGTTCATTTCCAAAGATAAAAATGGAAGCTGTGATCTGGAAGAATCTACATCTTAAAAAAACTTTTCCTAAAATGTTGAAGGAATTAGGCAAATAAGAAATAAAAGGTACCTGGTGTATGAGGTCCTATGGAAGCTGTGGATAAACAAATAATAGAAATATTCAGCTAGCATAAATATTAAGAACAAGACCCTTGATGTACATAAAATAGTGACATCTGCTGCTTCATATTCTGCATCTATTTCGTTACAATCCAGCAAAACAGATACCCAGAATAACCACACACAGTGCTGGTTCTCTGTAAGAATAAAGGCACTGCAATGAATCCTGCCTCCTTCCATCCGCATGGCAACATAGGATCATTCCTTGACCAGAGCAACTGATACTCATGCCTTGCTTTCCCTTTGAAACTGGAGGGATGTCACCACCACAAGTCATTTGCCTCTTTCTACAGAATGCACCTCCATCTTGCAAGGAGAGGAGAATATTGCACAGATGCTCCTTTTAGGCTTTTTAATAAAAAATAGATAGGTAATAATGCCAATAGGAAGGAGAAGCTGCATCCAAACCACCTGCTGACTTAATCTCCCTTAGAAAGTGCTCTCAGGGGTGTTTAATTGCATCAGAGAAGGGACAGAACTCAGCAGAATGCTCAAACTTTGCTCTGCCACTTGTTTCCCCTCCTTTAGATGATTTTTCCATCTACTGGGTTTCACAGCCACTGTTGAAAGGTATCCCTGACTCTCAAACACCGTAAGGGAACAGAAATTTTCAGAAGAAAAGCAATTGGGCAGTGAAGGCTGAAGTGTTCCCTTCCCTTCCATCCCATCCTCTTTGCACATCACCTCCTCCTGAGGCACTTTGCAAAGAAGAAGAGTTGCCTGTGACTTCCTTACCTGTGTCCACACTGTACCTGTGACAGAAGGTTTATCTTAAACACAATTACATCTCTGCAAGCGTCAGACATTTTACTCAGACTAGTTAGGGAAACTGCATTTGACTCAGTGTTTGGAATGATCTAGTTCACGAAATTCACAGAATTCAAAAATCTTTGCACTACACCTGAAAGCAGTTCCTATAATTGCAGGCTGAACTGAATGTGATTAAGTTCATTTTGGGGGTAGAACATTCAGCGATTTTTAGTTCATCTTTAGGTTCATTCTTTTATTTGATTTTTTTAAAATTCTATATATTCTTTTGGCCTCCAAACATAAGGATTATATTTTAGTCTTCTTAAGTAGATATGATAAAGGAGCAAGTTATAACATTCAGAATGCTGAAAACAAATTGGAAAGGATATTTGGGAGGTACTAGAACAGAACTGTGAACTGAACATGAACTAAATGACTAAAAGAGGTTAACTTGAACTGAACTAGTTCCTTTTTAAAACAAACTTTCACGGCTTTGATTTGATTCCAAGCTTCTTACTCATTCTCCCCGATTTTCAAAAGTATATCTTATGGAGAACTTTGAACTTACTTCTGGATATAACTTCTGTGGGACTTGTAGGAAGAGCTGCAGAAACAAAAGCATGACTAAAGTGAACTCTATACGTATTTAAATTCTGCACAATCTAAAAGTGTAGGCATGAGGTTGACTTTGCCCCACCAATTCTGAGAAGGGCAATATTTTCATCATACATGGTCAGTTTAACATTAGGCTTTGGTTATAAACAAAGATAAAAATGGAAGCCATGATTTGGAAGAAGGAGCATCAATAAAAAGGTGCCCTCAAAGGCTGAGAGAATCAGACAAATAAGAAAGAAAATGTACCTGTTGTATTAGGTCGTCCGGAAGCTGTGGATAAACAAATAATAAAAATATTCAGCCAGCATAAATATTAAGAAAAAGACCCTTGATGTACATAAAATAGTGACATCTGTTGGTTGATATTCTGCATCTTTTTTGTTACAAACCAGCAGAACAGATTTCCAGTGCTGATTCTCTGTTAAAATAAAGGCACTGCAATGAATCCTGCCTCCTTCCATCCGCATGGCAACCTAGGATCTTTCCTTGACCAGAGCAATTGACACTCATGCCTTGCTTTCCCTTTGAAACTGGAGGGATGTCACCACAACAATACTAAATACACAGGATGGGAAAGTTACCTGAGCAGATGACACCAGCGTCTTCACTATGACCACAATTGTGACGTTCCCATCCCGGATGGGAGCACAGCTCCAGAGAAGGTTCATTCCCTCTGCAGTTTACATCATCCAGGAGAATCTGGCCAGAGCCATGGCCAAAATGGGCACTTCCTGGTGCTGACAAAGCCAATCCACATCCAAGCTTTCTGCAGACAACCTGCGCATCATTTAAGTCCCAGCCATCATCACAGACCGTTCCCCAGCTTCCTCTGTAGTTGAGTTCCACGCGTCCTTCACACCTGTTGTTCCCACCGACCAGTCTCATGGGAACATCTTAGAACAATAAAATATCATTCTTACAAAGGCAAGACTTGTAAACTTAGGTTCTCCCCATCCCTAACCTAAGCATCAGGCTCTACTGGCATCAGGATTTCAACATGTTGACTTTGTGCAGCTCACCAAGAGAGTAGTGGCTGTGGAGGCCTTTTGCATTCATAACTAATGAAACTTAACATATCTCCCCAGTTCTATATTGCCTTGAAAAAACAAATGCGTTGTATATTAGGGGATTTCTTGCAATTGTGCAAAATATTCTCCCCTCTAAAAAAGAAATGTTAATGTGACCAAATGCAGTGAACTGAACATTTGTGTTTTGTAAAGGAAGCAATGTGAACCGGAACGAGTTCCTTTTGGGTCATGCTGAACGTAACTTAAGCTGGTACCTCTCTTTAAGGAACCTTCAAGCCTTTGATTTGACTCCAATGTTCTTGCTCATTCTCCCCAATTTTGACAGGCCCATCTTACGGCAAACACTGAACTTACCTCTGGGTGAAACTGCTGTTTCACTTGTAGGAACTTCTTCTGCAGAAACAAACACATGACAAAAGTGAGATCTTTTGGCATTTAAATTCTGTACCATCTAAAACTGTAGGCATGAGGTTGACGTCTTAGATACTAAGTCATCTAATACATAGTATGTATTATGTAGCAGATTTTTAAATAAGTAGCAGATTTTCCTTACCGGTAGTTTGCAGGAATTCTGTGGTTAATACAGGTACTTTGAAAAGAAATATAGGAAAAACAAGAATTAAGAGCAATATTACTGAAAATCCCAGCTTTGTAGCTGTGAATTTTGTTCTAATACTAAGTCATCTAATACATATTATGTATTATGTAGCAGATTTTTAAATAAGTGGCAATTTTTCCTTACCGGTAGTTTGTGGGAATTCTGTGGTTAATGCTTTGAAAAGAAACAAACAAAAAAGATTCAGAGCAGCATTACAATTAAACCCGGGGGGGCGGGGAGGTAGCACTGGCAGTGAATTTTGTTTTAACACCAAATGATCTTACAAGTATACAGCATTTGCTTGTAAATGAATGGTGAATTGTTGAAAATGAGGGGGGGGGGAAAATAAACTAAGTGAATATAAAAACAATATGTCCTTCAACCGTATCTATGGTCCCTGGGATGGTGTCCCTGGGGCCATAGGAAGCACTGGATCTTTCTCACCAAGGGTGGAAAGAGCTGTCCAGCCTTGAAGAGGACAATCAGTCCCTCCTCCTCAGTGCCAAGCATCTTGTCCTATCAATATGGAGCAAAGGGTTTCAGACGAAGATGCAAAAAGTTCCCATTCATACCACATTTACCCACGTTAGGGAGCATCCAACTCCTTTCCATCCTGAAGGATTCAATGCATTTCCAGCCACTAACATGCCCCCAAACTGGGGAGGTAACTATATCAGTTCCAATCTCCTCATCAAAATGTCATTCCATTCCCTCCCCCCATTTAATACACTTTTCCTATTTCTACATTTAAACCCTCCAAGATCCAGTCAATCCAGATTAAATGTGAAGGTAATATGGGAGTGGCTGCATTTTGATGTAGACTATGCCATGCGGATGCTGTGCAGAACTCAAATGCATGAGCAGTAGCAAGTCCACAGTAAACAGCCTTGCGAAAAGACCCAATGCCACTTTCTGCAGCAGCTCCCCGGTTCTTCAGATGTAATCTCTCTCAGCACCACCTGGAGATGCTGTGCACCAAATTTGGGACCTTTGCATGCAAACATGTGCTGAGCCACTCAGCCATGGCCTTCCCACAGTGAACATGGCACTCTGAAGACAAGCAGAGGTCAAAGCAGGCACCCCCCGCAACTGACTTCACGTTACAAGGTGGCTGTAATGCACAAAACCCTCTGGAGGGATCTGCCTGCAATTTGGGAGGCTTACAACACTCTTGAGGGGCTCATTAGCCTACAAACACCAAGCAATTCTGTGACAAGGGGGGGGGAGTATAGCCAATGTGGGGGAAACAGAAATTCTGATTTAACAGAGCTGATTTGGGCCCAAATAACAAATCTTATGGGAAAGACACAGAATGGGTCCAAAACAGACTTGATCCTAGTGATACAGATGCATATACACAGTAAATCTTATGATCAGTGCTTTTTATTTTATTTTATTTATTATTTTATTTTATTTTATTATTATTATTATTCTTTTCTTTTCTTTTATTATTTTAATAAATAGCTCATTTCCCAACCCACACTGGCCCATGAGAGTTGGCGAATGATCTAACTTTTCCAAAATTTCGTTCCATGAGGAGGACTTTGGCTTCATTGGGCCCCTATATTTTAATCCCAAAGCCAAATCTCAGATGCCAAAAGTGTTGAGATTCTCGTCCAACAAAAATCAAAGATATTTGGCTGTAGGGAAAAGAAATGTATGAGTTCCAAGATTACCTGCTATATTGTAATAGGCAAAAAAGCCAGAGCCTGCACGATAGGACTCTCTGTGGAGCAGAACTGTCATAGTGCCTGTATAGGAAGTGAATATCCAGCTCCAGCCACTGCATATATTCCCAAGTAGTGCTGATTGATAAACATTTCCATCGTAGACATGAACATATTCATGCGTACAGTCTAAACTGTGAAGATAAAAGAGCACAAAACCATCTTATTTCAAGCAAGAGCTCCTGGGTCCTGTCCCATCCCATCCCAAAGTTTGCAGTGTCAGTACTTACTTCAGATAGTCAAGAGTTAGCACTATAGGACTAGAATCATAGGAATGGATTGTCCAGAGACACTGTATGGTGCTTCCATCACCATTGTAATACGGGCCAGAAAATGACTGATATGGATTTGAGAAAGTATTGCCACATCCATGGATTCCTAGTAAACATACAATTAAACACTGATTATCTCAGTCCCCCGCCCCCACAAAAAAGCAGTCCTGGTAACAATTCTCTATCTTAACCTTGACCCTGGTACTTACAAGGACTAAGATTCTTGTGGTCCTTCTTTTTCCTTCAGCCACCAGAAATATCAGGTTTGCTTGTCTTGTGAAACAGTCATTTCAGCCAAATGATCAATGTACCACAAGCAACAAGCTGCCATCAGTAGAGGAATGAGGACTAGACCCATAAGCCCAGTGAATCCCGGTTACGCAGTCTCCAGCATAGGATCCTCTATAACACAGGATATATTTCATGGGCCCACCTAATTCAAGATGTTTGTTTGTTTTTTAAATGCTATTCTATCAGGCTAGAAATACAGCATTTCTTAAAAAGTGACGTTTTCTTGATCAGAGAACAAGGGAAAGAAGGAACAGTGTTTTTGTTCTGGATCAGGTGTTTATGCTTCGCAATACAACATGCCCATTGCTTCTAGTTCCCCACTTATATGTGAATTTCCATGCAACTTTTCAAAGTCGTTTTCATTTTTGCTTTGTGTCAAAAAATATATGACTCAGCAACCTTAGAAACATTTCTCACTGAAGCTTAGGCACTCCACCATGTAGCAGACAGTCCTGCTTGCAAAAAAGCCACACTTGGAATGTGAAAAAGTAGAAGGCAGGCACTCACCAGTAGTTTGTGCAGAAGCTGCTGGTCCTAAAGAAAGATGAACAATGATCAGCAAATTTAAACGTCTGTTTGTTTGTTTGTTTGTTTGTTTGTTTATTATGGCAGTCTTAAAACACTCCTGAAGGGCTTCTTTCCCCACAAATACCAACCAATTCTCTCTAGAACATGGTGTTTGGCATAGAGGGGAGGTTTATTCTGCCACCATCCCTGCTGCCCCTGCTTCCCTTGGCCTAAGGTCAGTTTCTGGGCCTTGGAGAATGGAAAGGCAGTGGAGGTTTGCTGTAGCTTCCAAATCTGGTTATCAAATGATCCATGCACCACACGCAGAGAGCTGCAATCAGGAATAAGGACCCACAAGCCCAATGAATCCAGCTTAGCTCCTTGCCCCACCCACAGCATGGGTTTGAAGACATAGGTTCTCTTTTTAGAATGACAAACCTGTTCACAAGGAATTCAACAGTTTGCCAAACCATTCATATTTGGGGTGGGGTGGGGTGGACAATCTGATTTACTTCCATTTAAACCAGGAATGGCTAACCACAGCCTAGAAACGGCAACAGGCAACACAAGGAATTTTCACCCCCAAATAATTTTTCACTTTTCCTTTGTGTCAAAACAATGGCTCAGCTACCTTAGGAACATTTTTCACCAAAACTCGCATGCACTCCATGTAGCAGACAATCTTGCTTGTGAAAAAAGTCACACTTGGGATGAGAAAAAGTAAGTGGGAGGCACTCACCAGTAGTTTCTGCAGTGGTTGCTGGTTCTAAAGAAATAGGAACATTGATCAGCAAATCTAAATATCAGTACTGTATTTTATTTTGGCACACATAAAACACCCCTGAAGGACTTGTTTCCTCACAAATACCAACCAAGTCTGGCCTAGACAGATTAGGAGTGAGGTGCACTGTTTGGTACTGGTCCTGCCGGAGCTTGAGGCAAGGGCTGTTTGCCATCATCCCAGCTCCCCTTGCCTTCCCTTGCCTTTTGGGACTTGGAGAACGGAAAAACAGTGAAGGTAGATACATGTTCTTACACCTTTGTGAGCATTTACATCAAATGCTCACAATGTCCTCCAGCTAAAACCTGTGCTCTCTAGAGCCCTCTTCACTGGGTATTCATTATTTTCAGTTGTGTGTACACAGAGAGGAGGCAACAAAATTGCAACTGAATGTCTAATTATTCAGTTGGAGGCTTGCTTCTGTATGATTCCTACTCTCATCTGGAACTGAGACATCATTCACCATAGTAAATCTGTACGGAACTGTGCCCCCAGCCATGATATCTAATAGTCCCTCATCATCAGAAATATCCTGTACATACTTATTTTCACATTCGAGTTCTTTTCCGCCTTTCCTCATTTACTTTCCCCAGTATCTTCTGCTCATACCTGCACATCATCAATATATTAGAATTTTCAAAAGCAGGTAAGATTTTGCCAAATTTAGGATGAAACTAACAACACCTATATTGAGTATAGCTTGTATGTTTTGATGGAGTCTTAAATACTCAAGTCAGATTTATGTGTTCCTTTGCACCAAATTCTTCCCATCTTTAACTAGCAACTTGAAAGGTCAGCATAGAGAAGGGGAACAAGAAAGAGCAAGAGCAAGAATGTTTAGAATTTAAGCCATATTACCTGATGCACTTAAACATATTTCATTAAACAGGAACAGCCAAGTAAAGATCAGGAAGGAACTCATTTTTGCCAGATTGCCTTCTAAGTTGATTAAGCATGCACCAGAATATATAGGAATGAAAATTGAAAGGGCGTGCCATGCAATTTGATATTTTTAGTTTATCTCATTATAGTCGGACAGAGGGCTACTGTCTAATGGTATTTATGCTGTCAAGGCATTGCTTATAGTAATGCTACACTTTGTTATTCTAATTTTAAAAAAATCCATTTCCTGGTACCGAGACACGGAGTATTGTTCAATTCTTGTAATGAAAAGATAACAATCACTTGCGCCAATTCAAATGCAATGCACATATTGGCAGAAAGTATTGTCATTAAACGCTGCTGCTTGCAAAGTGAAAATGCAAATAAAGTAGGATGCTTTAAATGCATCAGAAACCCAGCAGAATAAAAATATCTTAACAACCCAGTTAAAAGAGACGCAAAGAAAGGACCAGCAGTGAAAATGCTGCTTCCATTATTAAAGTGAAATGTTGGCTTCCTGTTCAAAGTGCACATGTCAAGGGGCTAGAATACTTAACATGACAGAATTTTGTGAGATAACCAGCCCCATATAACTAACATGCTTTCTGATGCTGCGGGAAGAGGGGACTATTTTGGAATTCACTTGGGAAAACATATTTTAAAGTTCTAACAGTCTACACTTACATACTTCATTTTGCTGCATATTTTGTGATTTCAATTTTTTTGGGGTTCTCTCACAAAAGACTACTTGCCCCAAACTTGGATCTTGGCATCTAAGGAATTCTCCTTTTGTACCTTCCCCTCCCCCCCGCTTGCCAACCGACAAAAATTGTTCATTCTAATTTTAATTCGGTAGTACTCGGGAAAAACACCTTTGAATGATCCAACTGCCAGTCAATATCTTTCATGTAAAGCTACCAAGGTAAAGATTATATCCATAATTATCTCCTTGTCTACCAACAAGCAACCATGCTAGTCTCAAGACAAGACTTGAAGAACAGAGTTATAAACAATGGGATAAAAATAAAATGGAAGTCAAGGAAATCTCTGGAGGAGATTTGTGCATAATTCTCCTCATGGAGGGAGTCAATGACTGCCACAAACAGATCATGTTCTTTAAAACATACACACCACCTAATTGTCAGGTTTCTCATTTTCAGATGCTCTCCAGGAGAAACCTATTCTTTGATATTTGCATGTACATACTCAGGACTAGGATTTAGCACTTTATTATGAAGAAGATTAGAAGCCCCCTTACCAGCTGGAGTAGGCTCTTCTGAAGTTAGTTCTTGAAGGGGAACAAAATAACAGAGTAAGAGAAATTGCGAAGTAAATTAAAATGTCACTAAAATAAAAATGGTGTTTTGAAGTGATGCTTTTAAATATGTAGCAGATTTTCCTTACCAGTTGTTTGCACTTCTGGGGCTGTTTATTGCAAAAGATAGGAAAAACAAGAATTAAGAGCAACATTACTGAAAATCCCAGCTTTTGTAGCGATGAATTTTGTTCTAATACTAAGTCATCTAATACATATTATGTATTATGTAGCAGATTTTAAAATAAGTAGCAGATTTTCCTTACCGCTGGTTTGTGGGAATTCTGTGGTTAATGCTTTGAAAAGAAACAAACAAAAAGGATTCAGAGCAGCATTACAATTAAACCCATGGGGGGGGGGAGGTAGCACTGGCAGTGAATTTTGTTTTAATACCAAATGATCTTACAAGTATACAGCATTTACTTGTAAATGAATGGTGAATTGTTGAAAATGAGGGGGGGGGGGAATAAACTAAGTGAATATAAAAACAATATGTCCTTCAACCGTATCTATGGTCCCTGGGATGGTGTCCCTGGGGTCATAGGAAGCACTGGATCTTTCTCACCAAGGGTGGAAAGAGCTGTCCAGCCTTGAAGAGGACAATCAGTCCCTCCTCCTCAGTGCCAAGCATCTTGTCCTATCAATATGGAGCAAAGGGTTTCAGACGAAGATGCAAAAATTTCCCATTCATACCACATTTACCCACGTTAGGGAGGATCCAACTCCTTTCCATTCTGAAGATTTCAATGCATTTCCAGCCACTAACATGCCCCCAAACTGGGGAGGTAACTATATCAGTTCCAATTTCCTCATCAAAATGTCATTCCATCCCCCCACCCCATTTAATACACTTTTCCTATTTCTACATTTAAACCCTCCAAGATCCAGTCAATCCAGATGAAATGTGAAGGTAATATGGGAGTGGCTGCATTTTGATGTAGACTATGCCATGCGGATGCTGTGCAAAACTCAAATGCGTGAGCAGTACCAAGTCCAAGTAAACAGCCTTGCGAAAAAACCCAATGCCACTTTCTGCAGCAGCTCCCTGGTTCTTCAGATGTAATCTCTCCCAGCACCACCTAGAGGTGCTGTGCACGAAATTTGGGACCTTTGCATGCAAACATGTGCTGAGCCACTCAGCCATTGCCTTCCCACAGTGAACATGGCACTCTGAAGACAAGCAGAGGCCAAAGAAGGCACCCCCCGCAACTGACTTCACGTTACAAGGTGGCTATAATCACAGACTGAGATTTGTATTCTCAGGACCCACCCTATTCCCTTGATTGTATTATTGAGCTATATTATTCCAGCCTAGGAGTACCTGAGCAGATGACACTGGCATCTTCATGATGACCACAGTCATGTGTTCCCCAACCTCTGTGAGAACACTGAAGCAGGGAAGATTCGCTTCCTGTGCACTGCACATTGTCCAGGAGGATGTTGCCTGAGCCTGGACCAAAATGGGCATTTCCTAGTGCTGACTGAGCTGGTCCACATCCAAGCTCTCTGCAGACGACGTGTGCATGATTGAGATTCCAAATGTCATCACAGACTGTTCCCCAGTTGCCATTATGATATACCTCAAGGCGACCTTCACATCTGTTGCCTCCATTAACCAATCTCAAGGCTATGGAAATATTTAAATATTTACAAAGGTATTTCTTATTGTCAAAAAAGTCAAAAATATGTTGTTTATTTCCTTTTCCCACCATTAAGATCAACCCAATTGCACAGTGAAAGAAAATAAAGACTCAATAGACATTAACAGTGCATATTGTACATTGTTCAATTAGATGGCACTGGGGATAGTTGCTTTGAATTAGAGATGACTTACTGGCGGCTCTCGACACTGTTGGACTCCAACGCCTATGAGCCCCAGCCAGCATGGTCAGTAGCCAGGGATGATGGGAACTGTAGTTTAACAACACCTAGAAGGCTATATTTTAGCCACCCCTGCTTTAAATACTTCCTCCCCCCCCCCCCCGATTTTTTCAGGAAAGCCAGGAAAGTCGAGGGACGTAGCCTGGTAATATCCTACACCTGCAATTCTCTGTTTCCCACTCCTTCTACTGACCAACTGAGCAGAGGCTTTTTGATTCCTGGAACTTGAGTGCAAGAAGCCTTGGTTCTCACTGAAACTTTGTGGGAAGTTAAAGCAACAAACAGAGCATACACACTCTTTAAAAAACCACTTAGTGCTGCCAGCAGTGTGTCACTGGAACCCCAGAGGGTTTCAACTCCCTTTGACAAGCGCAATTCACAGAAGATTCCAGGGCCAGGCAGAAGACAGGGTGCGATAACTTTTTGGACTTTGTGAAGGCAGCTACCAAGAGCTTTTCTATTGCATTAAATGTCTTGGAATGGGGAGAATTTTGCCAATGCAGCAGACTAAGGACTATTTTTGCATTTTGGATTGTTTTAAATAATTCAAAGGTACTATTTTGATGGGGGTTTTTCGTTTTGCAACACCCATTTCCTTACAGAAATCCAGACAGATTCTGAAACTGAATTCCTTTCATAAGGACAGCTAGAGTTATTAAGTAATACCTGAGCAAATGACACTGGCATCTTCATGATGACCACAGTTGTGTGTCCCCCAACCTCTGTGAGAACACTGAAGCAGGGAAGATTCACTTCCTGTGCACTGTACATCGTCCAGGAGGATGTTGCCTGAGCCTGGACCAAAACGGGCACTTCCTGGTGCTGACAGAGCTGGTCCACATCCAAGCTCTCTGCAGACCACACGTGCATGATTCAGGTTCCAAATATCATCACAGACTGTTCCCCAGTTGCCATTATGATATACTTCAAGGCGACCTTCACATCTGTTTCTTCCATTAACTAATCGCAAGGAACGTTCTTTGGAATATGCAAAAAATAAATATTATATAAACAAGACAATGAAACACTACATTGGAAAACTGGTCAACACAATGAGCACTCAGTACTACTGCATGGAAATTTCGTTCCATAAGACAGATTTGAAGAAGAAGAAGAAGAAGAAGAAGAAGAAGAAGAGGAGGAGGAGGAGTTTGGATTTGATATCCCGCCTTTCACTCCCTTTAAGGAGTCTCAAAGCGGCTGACATTCTCCTTTCCCTTCCTCCCCCACAACAAACACTCTGTGAGGTGAGTGGGGCTGAGAGATTTCAGAGAAGTGTGACTGGCCCAAGGTCACCCAGCAGCTGCATGTGGAGGAGCGGAGACGCAAACCTGGTTCACCAGATTACGAGACTACTGCTCTTAACCACTAAACCACACTGGCTCTCTGCATTAGGCCCCTATATTTTAATCCCAAAGATTTTGAGATTCTAGTCCATCAAAAAGCAAAGATATTTGGCTGTAAGGAAAAGAAATGTATGACCTCCAAGGTTACCTGCTGTATCGTAATGGGCAAAAATGCCACACTTGGGATGAGAAAAAGTAAGAGAGAGGCACCCACCAGTCTGCTCATACCTGCACATCATCAATATATTAGAATTTTCAAAAGCAGGTAAGATTTCCCCAAATTTAGGATGAAACTAACAACATCTATATTGAGAATAGCTTGTATGATTTGATGGAGTCTTAAATACTCAAGTCAGCTTCATGTGTTTCTTTGCAACAAATTCTTCCCATCATTAACTAGCAACTTGTAAGGTCAGCATAGAGAAGGGGAACAAGAAAGAGCAAGAGCAAGAATGTTTAGAATTTAAGCCATATTACCTGATGCACTTAAACATATTTCATTAAACAGGAACAGCCAAGTAAAGATCAGGAAGGAACTCATTTTTGCCAGATTGCCTTCTAAGTTGATTAAGCATGCACCAGAATATATAGGAATGAAAATTGAAAGGGTGTGCCATGAAATTTGATATTTTTAGTTTATCTCATTATAGTTGGACAGAGGGCTACTGTCTAATGGTATTTATGCTGTCAAGGCATTGCTTATAGTAATGCTACACTTTGTTATTCTAATTTTTAAAAAATCCATTTCCTGGTACCAAGACATGGAGTATTGTTCAATTCTTGTAATGAAAAGATAATAATCACTTGCGCCAATTCAAATGCAATGCACATATTGGCAGAAAGTATTGTCATTAAACGCTGCTGTGGTCCTTCATTTACCCTGGCATGAGACATGAAAAAGGCCTTTGATAGGTTGTGATGGAAGTTCTTGTACAGCACAATGCAACTGGACCTACTATTTCAGTACCTACCATTACAATTATCCAGATCCATTTACTTTTGTCTGTGATCATCATCTAAGGCCCTTCTTCATGTGCCTCCTCCACAAGAGGTCTGGAGAGTGGCAACATGAGAACAGACTTTTTCTGTGATGGCTCCCCATTTGTCAAATTCTCTCCCCAGGAATGCTTGCCTAGCACCTTCATTACCTATCTTTAGACGCCAGGCAAAACATTCTTCTTTCCCCAGGCCTTGGCTAATTAAATAATCTATGGCCTTTAAAACTGTGTGTGTGTGTGTGTGTGTGTGTGGAGGTATTGTGTTGTTTGTTACTATGTTATGTATTTTTGTGGGTTTATAGTGTAATCCTCCATGTGTACCTCGGATGAAGGGCAATATATAAATTAAATAAATAAATAAATAACTTTGGAACAAATTTTCATTCTGTCTGATTTCATGTGATACTATGTTTATAGTCATAGAGCTATGTTGTGGGATTTGAACTCTTGTTACCAGAAAGAAAGGCAAAGGAATATGCTATCGTATCTTTTTGTATTTGTGCTGTGAACTTTGCTTGTCAAAGATTGCCACCCCTTGCTGTTTAGTGGGGATGAATTTGCCACACATTCCTTCTCAGAAGAAAACACACATTGGTCTCTCCCATAGTCATGAGATTTAGGGGATCATATAGGCAGGAGTTCCCAATAGGAGCAGAATAATCAGGCTGCTATTTAAGCCTGTGCCATCCCCTCCACTTCCTTCTTCTCTTTTGCAGTGCTCACCCTCCCTCCATCTACAGTGTGGGTGGGGTTGTGTTTTTTGCTAGTCTCTCTTTCTGGGAGCTAAATATAATTTTGGGGGTAAGTCCCTGATTTCTCCTTGAAACTCTCCTTTTTCACCCACCCTGTAGGGTTATTTGATTTGCTGCTAATGTATGTACTTATTTGGTCTGTTTGGAATTTAGTGTGGGCAGGTAAGGGAATTTTAAAACTCCATTGGCTGGCCCTCTGAGGCATTATGGGGAGAAGGGGCATTTTGAGTCTCCTCAGCAGCTTTCAACTTCAAGAGTCCCTTGGGCTGCCCTTTAGGCCTGGCCTGTGAATCTTGGTGAATACTGGCCCGTGGGCCCCAGGTATGCATGTTGAGTAGTCATTGCCAAGACTCACATAGCAAGGAGGAAGAATTTTATTCCTATTCCTGGCCAGAGAGTCACAGAATGCAGTTGTTTGCATGCCCCTGTGGAGTGGAGTAATGCTTTCCTTATACACATTAATTATAACCCATCTGCCCACAGTTACATAATTTGGTTATTGTTTGACAGATTTTGAATAAATATGACCTTTTCAGCATTACTCTTGTCTCTCAGGTCTTCTTCCAGAGCGTGTTTATAAATGTTTATAACAAGGACATACGTCTGTTGGTTTGACATTTATTGAACTGTGGATGTTAACAGTAACTGGAAAATTTCCTCAGAATGTTAACAGCTTCAAATTAATGCCAGCAAAGTGCCTCAATTGTTTTACAAATTTGAACGCTTAACCTGTTTATATAGGTCAGAAAAGGACTCTGCACTAACCAATGCTGAGGTATCAATGCTAATTAAAACTGTACAGCGCATAGCCTATAAAGCAGTGTGCCTTTGAGTGCCACAAACAGATCATGTTCTTTAAAACATACACACCACCTAATTTCCAGGTTTCTCATTTTCAGATGCTCTCCAGGAGAAACCTATTCTTTGATATTTGCATGCACATACTCAGGACTAGGATTTAGCACTTTATTATGAAGAAGATTAGAAGCCCCCTTACCAGCTGGAGTAGGCTCTTCTGAAGTTAGTTCTTGAAGGGGAACAAAATAACAGAGTAAGAGAAATTGCGAAGTAAATTAAAATGTCACTAAAATAAAAATGATGTTTTGAAGTGATGCTTTTAAATATGTAGCAGATTCTCCTTACCAGTTGTTTGCACTTCTGGGGCTGTTTATTGCAAATGATAGGAAAAACAAGAATTAAGAGCAACATTACTGAAAATCCCAGCTTTTGTAGCAATGAATTTTGTTTTAATACTAAGTCATCTAATACATAGTATGTATTATGTAGCAGATTTTTAAATAAGTAGCAGATTTTCCTTACCAGTAGTTTGCGGGAATTCTGTGGTTAATACTATGAAAAGATAGGAATATAGGAAAAACAAGAATTAAGAGCAACATTACTGTAAATCCCAGCTTTTGTAGCAGTGAATTTTGTTTTAATACTAAGTCATCTAATACATAGTATGTATTATGTAGCAGAATTTTAAATAAGTAGCATATTTTCCTTACCGGTAGTTTGCGGGAATTCTGTGGTTAATACTATGAAAAGATAAGAATGCAGGAATAACAAAAATTAAGAGCAACAATACTGAAAATCCTAGCTTTTGTAGCAGTGAATTTCCATATCATTTTGCAATTATTATTCTTTTAAAAAAATCATGAAAATTCATCTCATTTTAATGTTTATTCTCTTTCACCAATATATGCATTTTCCTTGCACAATTGGCCCTAGAATATTGCTTGACTGAGTTTACAAGCTTGAGTTTATATGCCGCTTCTCCATAATGAGCTGTGCCTAAAACAAGTTACAGCAAGCATTCAAAACATCAAAAAATATAAGAAACACAGCATGGCAGTAAATTTAAAAATGACAAAAATCAACAATATGCCAAACACAAAATTCGTTCAATATTACACAAGCCCCCCCCCCCAACAATCTGGATTGAAGTACATAAGGACAAATTGAGTAGGTTCAACTTTAAATGTGAGCTGGATTAAATCCCCCCCCCCCCGCCAAAAACATATACTGCATTTGAAAAAACAAAATCCCCAATGGTGTGCTCAAAGGAGCCCTTATATATACCACTGTCCTCACATATACCCTTATGTGGAAGTGATACATTATTTGTCATAGTAGACATGCATGGGACTGTGCCCCCGGCCATTATATCTAATAGTCCCTCATCATCAGAAATATTTCCACATTGATACTTTCCCAAGTATCTTCTGCTCATACCTGCACATAATAAAGATATTATCATGTCAGAAGCAGGCAGGATTTTGCCCAATTTAGGATGATCCTAACAATGCCTCTGTTGAGAATATCATGTGTTTTGAAGGAGTCATAAATACTCAAGTCAGCTTCATGTGTTCCTTTGCAACAAATTATTCCCATAATCAACTAGCAATTTGTAAGGTCAGCACAGAGAAGGGAAACAAGAAAGAGCAAGAGCAAGAATGTTTAGAATTTAAGCCATGTTACCTGATGCACTTAAACATATTTCATTAAACAGGAACAGCCAAGTAAAGATCAGGAAGGAACTCATTTTTGCCAGATTGCCTTTTATGTCGATTAAACATGCACCAGTATATATAGGATTAAGAAGCGAAAGGGTGTGCTATGGAATTTTATACTTTATCTTGTTATAGCAGGACAGTCAGTGTTTTAACAAAAAGATACCACTTCTGTCAATTCATATGCAATACAAATATTAGCTAAATTATTGACTTTGGCATGAGATATGAAAAAAGGCCTTTGATGTGGTGAAAGTTCTTGTACGTCACAATGCAATTGGACCTAATATTGAAGAACCTACTGTTCATACATTATTATTTATTATTCCATATCTCTTTGTTAGGATTTAACCTCCTTCCATCAGGCCTGTAAGACAGAGCTATTCCACCTGGCCTTTAATTAGAATTCAGTCTGATCTTTTATTTCCCTTCTCTTCCCTCCCCCTCTCCTTTTATGAAGATTACCCGCTCTGAGACCCCACAGCTAATTCTCCTCTGGCCTCCTCGCTGGCCCAAGTAGGACCAATTCAGTCAACTAGCCCTGGGGATTATCTAATACAGTGGTACCTCGGGTTACATACGCTTCAGGTTACACACTCCGCTTAACCCAGAAAGGTTAAGAACTTTGCTTCAGGATAAGAATAGAAATCGGGTTCTGGCAGCGCGGCAGCAGCAGGAGGCCCCATTAGCTAAAGTGGTGCTTCAGGTTAAGAACAGTTTCAGGTTAAGAACAGACCTCCGGAACAAATTAAGTACTTAAGCCGAGGTACCACTGTACTTATTTCCCCTAAATTGATTTTTGATTTTTGAATTTTATTGTTATTCATGTTTTTATACTGTATTTTATGCTGCTTTTACAATTAAGTGTTTTAAATTTGTTGTTAGCCACCATGAGCCCGGTTTTTGAACAGGGAAGGGCGGGGTATAAATAAATTATTATTATTATTATTATTATTATTATTATTATTATTATTATTATTATTTGATAACAGTAGATGGAGAGTTTAATTTGCTGGTAGGTATACTCCGATTTGAATGCAAGTGGCGCTGTGGTCTAAACCACACAGCCTAGGGTTTGCCGATCAGAAGGTCGGCGGTTTGAATCCCCGTGACGGGGTGAGCTCCCGTTGCTCTGTGCCAGCTCCTGCCAATCTAGCAGTTCAAAAGCATGCGAAAATGCAAGTAGATAAATAGGGAAGGTTAACAGTGTTTCCGTGCGCTGCTCTAGTTCGCCAGAAGTGGCTTAGTTATGCTGGCCACATGACCCAGAAAAACTGACAAACGTCGGCTCCCTCGACCAGTAAAGTGAGATGAGCGTCGCAACCCCAGAGTCGTCCACGACTGGACTTAACAGTCAGAGGTCCCTTTACCTTTACCTTATACTTTAAGTTAAAATATACAGTTATTATATACACGACAGCATCTGGATGATTAAGGGTGGAGGCGCTTCACTATATAGTTCAATTACAGTGTTGCAACAAACCCAACAAAGAATCTTTTGGCAGCTTATAGTCCAAATTTATTATGGTACAAACCTGTAGGACTTTGGTCCAGTTCATCAGATGCATAAAATGTTAGCCTGAGTTGCAGGTATACACCCACATACCAACACACAGAGAGACATAGACACCCCCACCCACCCACATGGTTGGAGGAGGGATTGAAAACAGTACAACAGAAGGTCCAGTGAATACAATGAAATTGGGTTACACTTCAGAATGTATGGAATCATCAACTAATTAAGAAAACAAGGTGGCCTATGTGCTGCTCTCTTGCCATGAATGAATATGTATGAGTTGTATCCAATGCAACAATAGATCAGGGTCTGATCAGCACAAGGATTACTGCTAAGGCAATTGGACTTTCCCTCCATTCTCCTCCATGTGCCCCCTTAATCTATTTCAGGGATTCCCCAACGTCAGACACAGATTAGGGGAAAGCTCAGAGTGCATGCAGGAATAAATAAAGGGAGAAAGCTAGTTGTAATCCCTGCGTTGACAGAATGAGTTAGTAGAATATATGTATTGAAGAATACAAGGTAAGTGGAAGAGAAAGGATGTTCAGGTTTGCTTCTGTTATTGCCAAATTCATAGCAGAGAATGTATGAGTTCCTGGAACTTGAAAGAAATTTTTAGGGGGTTGACCTTGGAATAACATTAGTTGTTCAAATGAAATTCACATGTGTGTTCAGCAGGAAAAACTAATGTTTATTTTATATATGCAAATTTACATCATGAATACTTTGTGCCAGTTCTAGTGTAGAAAGATTGAAAAATCTTTACAAAAATATTAAAGGTATTACAGAAGGCTTAATATAATTCTCATTTTTCTGTTAATTCCCATTCTCTTACTGTGAATTTGCTGAAGAGAAATAAAAAAGCCAATGCAATTCTGGGCTGCATCAATAGGAGTATAGCATCTAGATCAAGGGAAGTAATAGTGCCACTGTATTCTGCTCTGGTCAGACCTCACCTGGAGTACTGTGTCCAGTTCTGGGCACCACAGTTCAAGAAGGACACTGACAAACTGGAACGTGTCCAGAGGAGGGCAACCAAAATGGTCAAAGGCCTGGAAACGATGCCTTATGAGGAACGGCTAAGGGAGCTGGGCATGTTTAGCCTGGAGAAGAGGAGGTTAAGGGGTGATATGATAGCCATGTTCAAATATATAAAAGGATGTCATATAGAGGAGGGAGAAAGGTTGTTTTCTGCTGCTCCAGAGAAGCGGACACGGAGCAATGGATCCAAACTACAAGAAAGAAGATTCCACCTAAACATTAGGAAGAACTTCCTGACAGTAAGAGCTGTTCGACAGTGGAATTTGCTGCCAAGGAGTGTGGTGGAGTCTCCTTCTTTGGAGGTCTTCAAGCAGAGGCTTGACAACCATATGTCAGGAGTGCTCTGATGGTGTTTCCTGCTTGGCAGGGGGTTGGACTCGATGGCCCTTGTGGTCTCTTCCAACTCTATGATTCTATGATTCTATGAAATATCCAGACTTTCAGCAACATTGAGACCACATATTCCACATTCCTATCCTTTCCACAATCCTCTTGTTAAAAACTTTTTTGTGGCTCTTTTTCTTTTCCCTCAGTACAATGGCATGCACCTGTCTTTTTTAAATGCAAGAAATGATAATTACAAAAGAAATCATTTTTTTCATCTATCTATTTCTATATTATGTATTCATATTCAAAAAGGCAATAATGGCTTAAAGAGTACTGTATACAGTTATTAGTTGTGCTTGGTTACTGTTATATATTAAGCAGGATGTCAAATTATGTGTGAAAATGATGTAGAAGTTTAGAGACCGATAATTATTGGAAAGTAGGGATGCGAGTGGTGCTGTGGGTTAAACCACAGAGCCTAGGACTTGCCGATCAGAAGGTCCCGTTGCTCGGTCCCTGCTCCTGCCAACCTAGCAGTTCGAAAGCACGTCAAAGTGCAAGTAGATAAATAGGTACCGCTCCAGCGGGAAGGTAAACGGCATTTCCGTGCACTGCTCTGGTTCGCCAGAAGCGGCTTAGTCATGCTGGCCACATGACCCAGAAGCTGTATGCCAGCTCCCTCGGCCAATAAAGCGAGATGAGCACCGCAACCCCAGAGTCGGTCACGACTGGACCTAATGGTCAGGGGTCCCTTTACCTTTACCTTACTAGAATTCAATGACAAACAGACTCCATGTTTCAATCAATCTGGTACACATTCTTCAATATCTCTTTTATAATAAGTAGGTTTTGTCATCTACATTACATCCCCTACATTTCAAATTTATTGGTATGACTAGTCTAGCTACAGTGACCATTGCTGTCAAAAACTCCCAAACCTTCATTTTAAAAAGGACGACTAGCTATCCTGCCATCACAAATCTTATCTGTCTCTACTACAGTCCTTCTTTTCATCACAGAAGGTTAGAATATGGCACCAATAGTGGCTAGAGGTGCTAGTACAGCTCTAGGACTTTATTTAATAGATTACACCTGGCTTTGATAGTGTTATCTGTATTCTGCAATCGATTACGTCCTTCCTTCAAAGTCTTTAACATCCTCCTAAACACCCACACAGCTGGCTTTTAGAATCCTTATCAGTATTTTGTAATGGATTACATCTGACTTTTATCATTTTATGTGTATTCTGTAATAGATTATATACTTCCTTCAAAGTTTATGACACCCTCCTGAATGAAAACAGCCACCGGCTTTTATAATCTTATCTGTACTCTGTAAGAAGCCTAGGACTTTGCTATATTTAACATTGAAATGCCTGACTTGAAAGTTAAATACATAAAGCAAGTTGGCTTTACAATAGGATTCAATATCATCCAGATGAAGAAGACATAATGTTTTTGCCTTGGTGTTTTGTACAGTTTACAGTATGTTCCATGTAGATTTTGTCCAGGGCCAGCACCAAATACAAAGGTGATGTTTGCTCCTGGCAAGAGCAACTAAGAAAAATTAATAATAAATAAAAATGGCCAGCTTTCAGATGAAATTGCAGTACAACTACACTCTTTCCACTTCAGAGACTACAGGTATGTGCCAGGCACAAATGATACTTCTGAAAAGCTTTCTTTTACAAAATACAATGAAGCATACTGATAGAAAATATTCTTTTTTTGTTGTTTCTCTTTTCCAGTGCTTAGCACCAAAAAATGCAGAGGACACAGTAGGGAATGCAGTAGGGAAAGTAAGACAAAGAAAATCTTGTTACTGCTGCTGCACAGAACCCAAATGGTTGCACAATGTACCAAGGTTCTTAAATTTCAGAACATAGTAAGCTTATTAAAGTGGACCACATTGCACTTGCTCCGATAAATAGTTCATCACTGTACACCAAGACTTTAATGCTTATTGTTAGTGCTATAAATTGAAACTCCTGCTAATAAACTTCCATGAATTTGTGTACAGTGGCCTGCGGCATTATGTGAAGTAAAGTTAAAGGCACACCCTATGAACTGTTAAATAAATAAAAAAAGGGGGAAAGTATTTAGCTTCAGAATAATTGCACCATAAATTCCCAGTCGTCCCCAATATGCTCAAACGTTGGTGCTTATTTGCAGGGCTTGGTGTTGTGCTGCCAATAAAGCTCAAAGTGCCATTGTACACAGGACAGATGGTCCTGCGAAGGGCAACAGAAAAGGCTGCTCTGTTTGTTTCTGCAGCAGATATTTTGAGGCACAGAATATGAAACGTTAGCTAAAGTAATGAAAGACATCAGAATACATGGCAGTGCCACACAAAGACATGCAATCGCAGTATACCCACACTTTGGTATTTATTGCCAGACATATATTCCTATATGCCCCAGTGCATAGGGGGATAGTTTCTCCTATATTGATTATATTGTTGAATGTGATGTTGCCTCTTTTGCTAGTTAAGTGTTGTTTGGGGGGCAGATTTGAATTAGGAATTTGAGAAGGACTTCTGGAACAACATATGGTCTACTTAAACATTTTCTTTGGTTCTGGCAAGTATTAGAGAAAACTTATTGAAACAGTGCATAGATAGTACTATGCACATCCGAACGAACAATTGGCTTCATTGGCAGAACTGTGGAACTGCCAGAATCTACTGGCATCTCTGGTGGTCTTGCCTTTGCATTAGTGCATTCTCAATGTGAGTTTTGGCAGAAATCGGAGTGGTTATTGGCCATGCTCTAGATCCAGATCCGAAACTCTGCCTTGTCTTCATATCTGTGGGAACCTTAGTAGATTCCTCTTGGTTGCTGCTAGATTGGCCATCCCTCAGGGCTGGAAGGAAGTCACATCCATTACACTGGAAGTTGGTATAGAAAAGCCTTGGACACAGTGGTTTCAGAAATGTTTACTCGCCACCTAAAGGTACTGAGAAGTGATGCTAAGATAGAGGACTTTGCTGCCATCTGGTGGACCTTTGTTACACACATGAACAAGCAACATTTGAGATTCCTTAGGGTAAAGGGACCCCTGACCATTAGGTCCAGTCGTGGCCGACTCTGGGGTTGTGTTGCTCATCCTTATTCCTGTAAAATATGACTTTATTCAGATATACTTCTAATTCTTGTTTGCAGTACTTGACTCTCCGTTGTGCCAGGGCGCTTAATGTCTTCAGTTTTTGCATTCTTATACTTCTGTGACCTACCACTCACTAGCTTTGTATATGCATCTTCCATTTCACATGGCCTCCTTAGTGGCTATGTTTTGCTAGCTCATAAGGGTTTTTCCTCCTCTATTATGTCTTTGTTGCTTAACCAATTAGAAGAAAAAGAAAACAGGCTGCAGGTTCAGCTTTGGTAATAAAGTGTTCTGTTGGGAATTCATTTCTGGAACCAACTAATCATGGAGAGAGAAAATATGTGAAAATCCTTAGAAAGGAAACATACTCTAGGGGTATGCAATACTATGCTTTGGAGCTGAATACAGAACATGTAGCATAAGGCAGAGTAGAACAATGCACAGAGGACAGGCAGCTATATAGAGATGGGTGAGCCTGTCAGTTTCAGTTTCTCATTTTTCCAGTCTTAAATTCAGTCCTCTACATTTCCACATCAGGGTGTAATTTTTTAAAAGAATGCCCTCTTGAAAATTCACCAGCATTTAAGTGCAAATTGCTCCAAATCTATAGATTGGTGGATGAATTTTTGCCCAATACCCACTTTCTCCAATGGAATTTTCCCTGATACATTACATTTTTTTAATTTTCAATAGTACATACATTTGTATGCACTTCATGCTAGAATGTGTGTTCTGTATGCATTATTTAGCCGGAGAACTGCATTGCAAAATTCAGAGAAATGCACATTTGGAAGAATGGCAGTGTCATTTCAGAAAGTGCAAATTAGTGAGCTTGCCTTTAAAAGTGAACCGAATGATATTTCTCCCTCATCCCCAGGCACCTTGTGCCAACCATGTATTTCCTTTGACCATTCCAAGTTGCCAATGAGATGAGACAATAAACAGTGAACACGGGTAACTTGCAAAGATGTAGTAATTTTATTGCAAAGTAGTTGGCAGCAAAATGCAACTTCATATAATTTGGCATTACATTGATGAAACAGATTTTTCTATTCCTGAATACATCATAACACCCTATAACTATCTGTTCAGTTTTATGGGCCACCCTTTCCTTGGGAGTTGCTTGAGATTATAATTCTGTTCTTATTATTCTGTCAGTCACCATGTGGACTCCGAATGCCTCTTTACCTTCAGTTAGCAAAATGCAACAACAAACCTTGAATCTGTTTTATGCTTCCTACAAATGATGGGCTTGTTATTTGCATCAATTTGACAGCATGAATTGCCACGTGAAAGGGTAACGTGGTCATCTGAAATTTCTCCCAAAGCACAATGGGGCAAAGCAGTAGTTTGCTTTTCAAAAGAAGCAGAAATAGCATAATGGAATAGTGACAGAGAAAAGTTGGATTGTGAGATCCTTTGCTTAAATAATTAACAAAAACATCCTAGGATTTAAACTACCGTATTTTTTGCTCTATAAGACTCACTTTTTCCCTCCCAAAAAGTAAGGAGAAATGTGTGTGCGTCTTATGGAGCAAATGCAGGCTGCGCAGCTATCCCAGAAGCCAGAACAGCAAGAGGGATTGCTGCTTTCACTGCGCAGCGATCCCTCTTGCTGTTCTGGCTTCTGAGATTCAGAATATTTTTTTTTCTTGTTTTCCTCCTCCAAAAACTAGGTGCGTCTTGTGGTCTGGTGCGTCTTATAGAGCGAAAAATACGGTAATTGTAAGATAAATTGAACTGAACATGAAATTCTCTGACTGAACTGGCTGGTGAATCAGGCCATAAGCCAAACTGCTTGTGTACATTTGTGACAGAGATTCCACACTAGTCAAAAGAGAATATCAAACTTATCATTTCAAAATGACATAGCAGGAGCATGTTCAGCTATGTATTATGAAGCACATTTCCTATGTCTGTTTCCAATGATTCCAGTAAACTTCAGCAATTTGCCCTTCAGCTCCTAAATATTAACTGAAGAGTCGCAACAAATCCTCCTTTGAAATATAGTCCTGATGCATCTCAGACATATGAAGTTGGCATGTATAATATGTATATGTAGAATGGTTTTTGGAAGTACAATGGAACTTAACTATATCCATAGAAGATGGGGGGAATGTTTAAAAGGAGAATGAGAGCAATTCCACAATGCCATTAAGTCAAAATAGCTGGATATAGGCAATGATTTTGATCAGAATACATATTTGATCCTGGTACTTTGATTGAACTGGGCTGTGTTTTAATCTACCAGTAAACGCGCCCAACTATAGATGTGCCTGTCTATGGATTTAAGTTTCAGAAATACATGCTAAAGAGGCAGTTTTTGTTTTTGTGTAGGAAGTGCTGAATGTATATCTTGCTGACGCATTGGTATCAGTAGATTTGGTGATAGTTTTTCCTTCTCAGTTTGCTGCTTATAAGTAAGCCAGACAGAACAAAGACCATGGCTGCCAAAAGTACAGTAGTAACAGTAAGTGGGCTGAGAGCTTCTTTCTTTTCTAGTTTCACACTCTTAGCCAGTTCTGTAAATAGAATAAAAAAACACAGTTTGGAACAATTTTTCAGATAATGTTTGTATGTATGTATCAGATTTCTTACCTGTTCTTCACCATAAGATCCCTGGGCAAGTTATAGCAATATAAACATACAAGGAAAACACTTTGTACCTTTATCTAAATGTATATATATTAGTTTTGTTAGAGGGCAGGTTCGTCTTTGAAAGGCAACAACTGCTTTGAAGGCAGAAGGCTCAGGTCAAATTCCTGGCATCTTTGGGTAGGGCTGGAGAAGACCTCTGTCTGAAGCCCTGGAGAGTCACTGTGAGTCCATCTAGAGAACTCTGAGTTAGATTGACCAATTGCTTGGCTTTGTCTAAGGCAGCATCCTATGTTTCAAACGTAAGAGTCAAATTCTTTATTCTGCCCATCTTTACATTATCTTTCCATGCATCAGTGGCATGTGAGTCTCAAAAAGTTGCCCATTAGGGAAATGTTACCCGAAGAGTGGAAGCAACACAGAATGAGATTTCATTGTGTGATGTTACTATGCTTTTGCCAGGCAAAACGGGAATAAATACTGGTTTTAATATTATTTGAACAAAGTAGTAGAATATTTTAACAACACTTTGTTCTTGAGTAATTATTATTTCAAGATACTTCAGAATATATTTTGAAAATCATTATTCCACTGCCCAGATTGCTTTGGGTGGTGGTGGGGAGTTTTCATCTGAGTCTCAAGTTGTACCATAGCATGACAGCACTCGGGGGGGGGGGAGTGACAGAGCCTTTTAAAAGCCCACCTCCCCTCCCTTTCCCCCTCTGTTTCATCTGGCACCCACCCTCTCTCCCAACCTCCATCACAGTATGATTTGCTTCAGGGCCAAGTAGGATTTTTGAGCCCACCTGCCTTGTTCTGCAGCTGGAGTTTTTGCCTATGCCATACTGTAAAGTGGGATGGGAGACGGTTTAGGTGCAGTGCCTTAATACTAGGCTATTCTGGCTGACAGGTTCATCTGGCTCTTGACTTGCTTGCGTTATAGGTTCTGCTTGCGTTACAGGTTAATCTGACCATTTGAGTGTTGTTTTTTCTTAAGATAATCTGGTCACTTTGGCACATAGGTGCCACAAGGGGAACTTGATAGGGTAGCTTGGTGATCCCTTTAGGCTCCATTTGGGGTGACTGTTTGTTTCTGAGGCCTGCAGGGCTTGGAGATAGGAGAGAGACTTCTTCTGAAGTCAACTAGCCTCATCCACCTGGAGTTTGGGGGCCCAAAGGGGTGGTGGCGAATGCAGGCCTCCCAACTCACCGTCAGGGTGTGGCTGGGGTAAGGAGTAAACAAAATGGTTTACCATTGACCCAGCAAGGGATTGGTTTGTCTTATACCTATGTGATTTCCTGATTTGTTCATTCCCACACCTATAGTTTCCCTCTGCAAATTTGGTTTAATGTTCAATAAAATGGTAGTTATTCAACACAGCAAATGTGTCCATGCATTTATTTCAGTCCTGGTCTGCAATCATTTCTATTATGTCAGGAGTGCTCTGATGGTGTTTCCTGCTTGGCAGGGGGTTGGACTCGATGGCCCTTGTGGTCTATTCCAACTCTATGATTCTATGATCATCAGAAAAAAGTAGCAAAAAAAAGGAATCAAAAATAAAAGTTACCCTGTCCTTTGTCTTCAATGGTTTCTTTCTGCAGTTTGACTGGTCCCACTACCACATCCACTTTATCCTGAAGTTCATTTGTATCCCTCTTCCTTCTAGTTAAACATCCCTGGTAGCATCGGGATGAGTAATCATATGCCTTACATACTACTAGTTTGCATTGCAGATAAATTTGATTATGTTTATAAAGAAACTTAAAAGAGTTGAACTTGAAACGAACTTGATTGTTGCTTGAGTTAAATCCGAGTTCACTCAGATTTAAGAAGGTTGGGTCTCGCACACATCTGAAAATAAAAGAACCAAGTTTGTTTACATAATTACTTTAGATGAATCCTTTATGGAGTTCTGAAGTATGTTATCTTTGGTGACTAAAGACCATGCTGGAGAAGGATGAGAAGAAATATCAATAAGTGGATGGTGGATTTCAGAGAATAAAATGGAAGATAGACTCAGCGTATATGAAAGCAGTCACTCAAAATACCAGAACTTGGGCCCATCTGACGAAGCTTCAAGTTAGAAAATTCTGAGCAGACAAAGGAAAGTACTTCACACAGCACAGCACATTGTTAAACTTTGGGATTCACTCCCATATGATGTTCGTGGAGGATTCAACTATCAAGGTACTAGTGATGATGGCTTTGCTTTGCCTCCATTGTCAAAGACAGTATGCTTCTGAAGACAGTATGCTTCTGGGAAGCAATTGGGGAGAGGTCCTGCATGCAGGCTGGCCATTGCAATAACAAGTATTTGCCTTCCCTGCTTTTGTCTAAGACTCTTTGACTGATGACACAATGAGTTAGTAACAAACAACCATATTTATTGTTATATTCAGGAACAAGTAATAGCAAGTAGGCTCTGCAACTCTTTATAGATTTTCTTAAGAAATATGTCAGAATCAAAAAGTGAATTTCAGAGTCAGTTTGAGAGTAAAGCATTGTTCATACCACAAAGAAACATTTAAGTACAATCCTATATGTGCCTATGCAGAAATCCAATTGAGCTCAGTATGGTTTACTCCAGGTGAGTGTGAATGGCATTGCATGCTTAGTATTAACTCTGCTGTCATATAAGCCAAAAGGAAAGCCCTTCTTCTAAGTGGATATCTAAACATGCTTATCTAAAATATACTCACCCATTCTTGATTAAGTCATAGGTCAGAGTTCTGAAGTCACCAGGGTATGGAGATGCTACACATGTGTCTAGAAATAGTACTAAGTTCGGATCAGAACTGTTGAGAGTAGCTTGGAGATAGAGAACCTGGTCGAGGTACACGAAGTACGGAGAACTGCGAACTGAAACTTTGAAGGATGATGATTCATAGAATGAAAGTGCCACATTGTAGTTGCCAAGTTTTCTTTCAGTAATGTCAATGGAATTTTGGGCAACAAACATTGTCTCTACAACAGTCATTGCGTTCATTTCACACATAATATGAAATTGGAAGTTTTTCCTTCTTGTAATGATATAACCAGCGGCTAATGTCTTGATTATGTTGGAATAGGTGATGGTGTCATTATTTGACTGCTAAAGGACAGGGGAGAAAGATCTAGGTCAATAATATGTGTAAATTAGGACCTGTCATATAAAACACACCCAATATACTTAACCACTTTAGAATGTGCTGATATTTCAGACTTATTACCATTAAAAAACCACCTTATATAATCTGGAATTTTATTGTATTCTCATTGAAAAAGTTAAGAAAGATAAAAGTATAAAATGCATTCAGTAGTTGAGAAGAGAAACACAGAAATGTGCAGAAAAATTGCTACATCTTTTAATTCAAATTAATATACCAACAAATATCTGACTTTTATGACATTTATCTTTAAAATGCTATGGGTTTCTTTAAGAATAACTGAGTTTATTTGTTTGTTTGTGTGTATTAACATGACGGGTTTTGTCCTCAGAAGTGAAAAAGCTGAGCATAATGCAAAGCATTCAAAGGGCCAGGCAGCGTGATCATAATGCTACCTCTAATTTTCTAAAAGTGGAGGACAATCTCAGGAACATAACGCTTCCCCCCCGCCTTATACCACTTACTCTTTCTGGAGCAACTTCCCCACTCCTGTATTTCCTATGATTAACAGAAATGTCAGGAATTACCCACAATACGGTCTGCTTTAAATGGTGTGGCATATTGCTGACACTTGCTATTTAACCCAAGTTCTGAAATTGGTAGTTTCACGTCTGAATTAAACACATCGTTCAATGGTGTCAAAGTCTATGAAGGGCAGCGCTGACATTTCCTAGAAATATAGTTGAAAGAAGAAGAGGAAACTAGCTCCATGGCAGAGTGGAGAAGAGGCAGCATGGATTTCCCAAGGCTCTCTCTAAGCCAGATCATTCAGATGTTATAGCCAAAAGGTGGGTGAAATACTTTTCCAAACTTTAACCAGCAGGGTAATGTTACAAAGATAAGAACCAGATAACAGATAATGTGCAGTACCCAACGTGGTACTGAGCAACTAGTTCCATCATTGCAAGGATTTAAGCTTGTGCAGCAGAACTTTATCCCCTCCTTTGACCACAGCCCCTTAAATCTCTTCTGGGGTTTCCAACAACCCTGAAATAGATTTGAGGAGGGTGTGAGATGTGCAGGGAGAGGATAGAGGAGAAGTTCCATAGCACATGCAAAAATCCTTGCACAAACAGAACAAGTGCATTGGATACTGACAATATTTTTAAGAACTCATTGTCTTACCTTTCTTACTGTGCCACACCCACTATATGGTATCTCGAAGACCACATAGTCTTGAGTAATCTGAGGTGTGCAGAAAGGGTCTGAAGTATTCAGGGATACTTCGCTTGCATTGTAGCCCAGCAACCCAAGATAGTCCCTGCTGATGCGTGCAAGCATGTATTCTCCAGAACACGAAAGCGCTGAATGAGGGCACATAGAAACCATATTAAATAGTGTAATGTTTTTTACATTTTACTTATGAGTAGGGGCAACCTTGGTGAATGATATGTCAGGCAAGCGGGGGCTTGTTTGAGCTCATAATGAAGCTGCCATGGAACAACTTTACCACATTTTCAGAAATTTGAAGTATTTGGGAGGGAATACTCAGTTTCACTATTTCCTTTGAACACACAGACTTTTCAGCTAGGCAACCCAAATCAGCAAAATCTGTGATTCTCACATGCATGTTTTAGGGAGAAATCAGAACTTACTTCTTGCAGGAACTGGTGCTAAACTTGTAGGAAGAGCTGTACAAATGAAAAACAAAACAAAAGGGAGATCAATTTGTGTCTAACAGTGGCGTAGCGTGGGGGGTGCAGGGGGGTGCGGCCGCACCGGGCGCAACATCTGGGCTTAGGGCAAATCCACAGGTTAGGGGGCACAAATCCACGGATTAGGGGGCGCAAATCCATGGGTTAGGGGGCGCAAATTAATTGCCTTGCCCCGGGTGCTGACAACCCACGCTACGCCACTGGTGTCTAATTAGCATTTAAATGGTAAAAAGTTGGGAAACTGAAGTCACAACATTGAGTTCTGTGCCCTCACCTGCTACACCCTTCCACCATGACAAAGACCATTATACAAACAAACAGTGTTGCTTATACTCCAGTTTGTTGGGATTTAAGTATATGAAAGATGTTCTTGTCAGAGTGCCTCTACTGTGTAATCTAATGCCATTCCCTGAGGAGTAAAATCTACTGCTTCTTTTCCACAACAGAGAGAAGATAGCAGAAACCAAGTGGTTTCAGATATATCTGTGGTGAAAAACAGCTTCCCTGGATCTTGAGCATGCAATCCTCTGCAAGCTCAGAGATGCCTAAATCACACAACTGTGAAAAGAAGCATCTAGTTTCTTTGAGTGTCATGTTTAACCATTTGCCTTATTACCTAACAAAAGACACAGAAGAAAAGGAAAAACATCTTATCAGTTGTTGCTTCACTAGCACTTGATTCAAATGTTAAGTCTATTAAAGGAACCAAAATAAATAGTACAGATAGTCCACTGAAGATATCGAGATCCCAGCAGTCATCTATCCAGTAACCTAGTAATATATTGCAGATATTTTCCATTGACTGGTCGTCAGTGTGTGTGTGCGCGCGCACACACACAAACACACACACATTAATCATACAAGAATACAATTAAAGGGAGAGCATTTAAAATGAATGACATAAAAGAAAAAGAACAAGGTCTTACCAGCTGTTGATTCATTGAGAGGTGGTTCAGTAGTTGTTTCTATTCCTATTTAGGTAAACAAATAGTACAATAAAAGTACTATTACACTGCTGTTAAGATCCTAGCAGTAATATATCCAATAACCTAGGAACATATGGCAGCTATTCTTCATTGACAAAAGTCACCAGTGTGTGTGTGTGTGTGTGTGTGTGTGTGTGTGTGCACACGCCTTATTTATACAGCAAAAAAATATCAATACAATTAAAGGGAGAACATTTAAAATGAAATGCAAGTAAATCAGGATGCTTAAAACATACAAAAAGCCTGGTGGAATAAAATATTCTCCTACAACATTAACAAAAAAAGGTGTCAGTGGCGAGATGCTGCTTCAGTTGTTGCTAAAGTGAAGCATTGCCTTATTCTTCAAAGTGTGCATGTCAAGGGGCTAGAAATTTTAACATGGCAGAAAATTGTGCATTCAGATCTTACTTTGGTCCCTCACAGGAAAAATACCTTTGATCTATCCAACTGCAAACTGATACCATTCATGCAAACAGGAAAGTTAAGCAAAGTAAATATCCTATTCATCTCTGGATAAGTCACAGAAACTGTGCCATAATCCGACCAGCCTATGGGTTTGTATGTTGGTATGATCCTAGACAAAGGGTGGGGAGCCTGTGGCCCACCCAATGTTGCTAGATCACAACTCACATCATCCCTGATCTTTGCCTATGCTGGCAGGGATTGATGGGAGTTGGAGACCATCTGGAGAACCACAAGTTCCCCATCTCTGCCCAAGACATATGTTGATTTTCAGCTTACATTGCATCCTCAAACCAGAACAACATTAATCTAACACAACAGATACTAGAAATGTCCTAGAACTAGATAAATAGATAACTCTTACTTAATGGAATAGAATAGTAAGAAGCATAAAACCCATTTCCTGAGTAATATGAATCTCTGTGCAGCAGAATAGTCATGGTGTTGGAAGTTGATATGTAGGTATAGTTGAGATAGATGCCAGAGCAAGTTCTTCCAAGCGGAGTGGAGACATGTGGGTACCCATCGAAGATCTCAACATATTCTTTATTGCAGTCCAGACTGTATAAAGGTAGGTCAGCAAGTCACTCTTTGTGTATAAAATTATGCCATCATTTCACACATCAGATTTTCACATTAAGTAAAGAAAAGTTACATAGGTTGCTTATATATGGCGGTTCAATTTCATAATGGGTCACTATCACAAATGATTCACTGACAATAGCGTTATCGTTCTTTACTTATCAGGGTTTCCCTGGAAATAATAAATGCAGGAGGGGGCAGATATGGGCTGGCATTTTGATGACAATGACAATGTTTGGACACTGCAAATCACATGTACATATGAGGAGCAAAGATGTCACATTGAACATTCAAGTGAACATTCAAGCACCCTTTGATTCTCTCTTTGGTGACACATATGCCAGAATATAAAGGTAAATACATAGATTCAGTGGAGCTGACCTGAATTCCGAACATATTAAAGTAATGTTATGATTGGTTCTGCCCGTGAGAACCCCACCCTACATCTATGATACTATGGAGATGGTTCAGTAAATGTCAGCTGAGTGATAAGCTAGGTGGCTGATGAGGCTCTCAGATGTATCCCAGATTAGCTCAACCTAAAAGAGTGGCATGCCTATGTACATATCAAGGTCATGTCAGACCTCTGCCCCATTACGTCCAGTACAGTCTGCTCCACCTGGCAATGGCTTTCCAGTGTCACAGTTATAGGTCTTTCCCAGCCTTGCTCCTGAAAATGCCCAGAATTCAAATATTCAAATTTACAAATTTATTCAAATATATATGCATACAATTTAACCACTTTGCTATTGAATGATGTCTCCTCTGGCTGGAACAGCATAATTTGCTTTAAAGACAAGATTCACAAAATACTTGTCTTTTTTACTCATCTTTCAATGCCTCAGTGAAAGGGCCTGTCCTTCATATTTCCTAAGAAAGCATTAAAAAGTGGACCCTTTTGTTTTCAGGAAAGGGCCAATATCTACCACTTGTAGAGTTTGTAATAAAAATGTGTTTATGGTGTATTTTCTTTGGAAGGTTTTTAATTTGTATGGGATTTCATCTCGTGTAGGGCAGAACCGCATGATCAGTTAGCAGGATTCAATCTGATGGCTATCACATGCTGAGTTTGTTGGATAGAATCAGGGTCCCTCATGCAGAGAGTTCTGCTTGTGTTCAAGTGAATACAAATAGAAATTATATGCAGACCCTCCCTGTGCGACACAGAGAAGGTTGGAGGCTGAGAGGGAAGGAGCAAAGCAGGCAGCCAGGTTAAGGGCAGGGCTTGCATAAACATTCTGACCTCCCTACAAAGTTTGGTGCTTACAAATTCAGGCAAACACCTCAACACATCTATCTTTTCAAGCACAGAGAAGAACAGTCACCCATAAGCTATTAAAGTCTTCAGGTAATGACAAAACCATGAATTAACATCATGTGCAGGTGCCTGTGGAAAATGGAAAAACATTCAGTTCCTTACACTTACCGAATATAAGAAAACTGGAGAACTATTTGTCTATCAGGGCTCACTTGAATTTCCCAGCTACACTGTATAATGGCACCGTTTCCAGGATAATATGGTCCAGAGATAGATCCATTTGGAAGGGAGAGATAGCCACCACATACTAGAAAACACAATATTTTGTGCATGTAAGCCAAAAGAGAATTTTGTACAGAGAAATCTGAAATGAAATCCAGCTTAATTTAAACTCTTCCTCCCTCCCTCCCCCAACTTGATTGCATTAACTCTCTCCTTCTGTTATTAATAAGCAAATAATTGGCCCTTTTAGGTTGAAGCTGGAGGCCTCCAATATCCTTGCCCCTATTAAATTACTAATATATTTGTGGGCAGGATGTTTTTAATGCATTTCTCTTTCCTCTTGGTTTTACTTCATCTCATGGGTGAGAGTTGCCTGTCTTGGTTGTAAATCACTTGGTTGTAAATCACTTTGTTGTTAAATAGGTTAATTAATTAGTTATCAGGTAGTTAAGGTTTGGTGAGCACCCTCTGAGCCTTGCCTTCTGAGTTGTGAGACCCACTGACAGAATAAGAAGTACCTTTGAGGCCAACCTGTAAAACCCCATCTAAGTTATGGGGCTTAAGGTGAAATGATGCCTCTTATTCTGGTCAGAGTTGGTTCACCCTGTTTGCTATTTGAAGATAGTATTGTGCACTTTGGTTCCCTTCAGAAGATCTGTTGTGTTAAATTAAATGTGGCTCATTCCGCCCAGTGTGTGTATTTTATTTCCCGATGTGGTTACAAAAGATGTTTCAAGCATGCAGACTTATGCTTACATTCTACTTACATTCCAATCAGTTTTCCAAAATCTTTATTCAAAAGTCTGTTCAATTTCTTCTTTGTTTTGAAATAATGACTCAGTTACCTTTGGAACATATATCACGAATGCTTTCAAACTTTCAAATATGCACTAGTAACAACACCTAAGAGATGCACCCCCCCCCATTCTTAAGCAATTTCCCACTATTTATCTTTCATACTTCATGCCTATTGAGAAAGATTCAGCCTTGTAATGAAAAAGTAGGACTCACCAATAGGAGTAGAAGGAGCTGTTCACAAAGAAAGAGGAACATTGATATGCATTGGTAAGTAATAAGCATGCCACTATTATCTGTTAATATTCATCAGTATTTTTAGCCAGTGAACCCAGCAACCCTGTGCCCCTTGAGGGAACTTCCTTGTGGGCCACAGAAATAATCAGATCTCCCTCTGTCAGAGCAGAGGGAGATGTCTGAGGTTGACCTTGGTTCCCTTCTGTAGATTTGTATGTTAAATTAAATGTGGCTCAGTTCACCCAATCTGTGTGTCTAATTTCCCGGTGTGGTCACAAAAGAAGTTTCTACATGCAGACTTACACTCTGTGACTATAGTGGTTGGTTCTCCAGTTGTGGATAAAACTAGTAAGAAAGAACAGAATCAATCAGATTGTGGTAGAATGTGTTAATATTAAGCCAAACATTGAACAACCAAACCTTCTCTCCATGGAACTCTGACAACTGTAGCTCTGAGAGGGGAATGGGGGCCTCCTAACAGTTCTCAGCACCCTTAACAAGCTAAAATTTCCAAGAATCTTTGGGGAAAGTATCTGTGGCACAAGTGGCAATCCTTGTAGTAAGGGCCTGAAGGTATACTACTCAGTATAACTAACACTGGATATATTTTAGTGGACCACCAAACCCAAGAAGCATCTAGCCTCAGCACTACTGCATCAGGATAGAAATGGAAGATTTCTAAAAAGCTGATGGTAGTTTGTTCCTAGAAGAAAAGAAATGGGGAATAAAGTTGTAACCAAAAGCCAGGTTGCTATGCCATGCCTAATACAGCTCAGTAAAGATAAAGGTACCCCTGCCCGTGCGGGCCAGTCGTGTCTGACTGTGGGGTTGCGTGCCCATCTCGCTTAAGAGGCCGGGGTCCAGCGCTGTCCGGAGACACTTCCGGGTCACGTGGCCAGCATGACGAAGCTGCTCTGGTGAGCCAGCGCAGCACACGAAAATGCCGTTTACCTTCCCGCTATAAAGCAGTACCTATTTATCTACTTGCACTTAGGGGTGCTTTCGAACTGCTAGGTGGGCAGGAGCTGGGAACGAACAACGGGAGCTCACCCTGCCGCGGGGATTCGAACCGCCGAACATGTGATCGGCAAGTCCTAGGCTCTGAGGTTTTACCCACAGCGCCACCTGCGTTACAAGATACCTATTGCTTCCAGTTTCTTACACACACACACACACACACACACACACACACACAATTTCCATTCAATTTTCCAAACTGTTTTTCAAAAGTCGGTTCAATTTCTTCTTTGTTTTGAAATAATGACTCAGTTACCTTTGGAACATATATCATTAATACTTTCAGACTTTCAAATATGTACTAGCAACTACACCTAAGAGCTCCCCCCCCCAATTCTTAATCGATTTCCCACTATGTATCTTTCATACTTCATGCCTATTGAGAAAGATTCAGACTTGGAATAAAAAAAGTAGGACTCACCAGGAGGAGTAGAAGGAGCTGTTCACAAAGAAAGAGAAACATTGATATGCATTGGTAAGAAATAGGCATGTCACTATTATCTATTAATATTCATCAGTATTTTTACCCAATGAAGCCAGCAACCCTGTGCCCCTTGAGGGAACTGCCCTGTGGGCTACAGAAATAATCAGATCTCCCTCCATGAGAGCAGAGGGAGACGTCTGAGGCTGACCTGGTTTCCTTCTGCAGATTTGCAGTGTTAAATTAAATGTGGCTCAGTTCACCCAATCTGTGTGTCTTATTTCCCTGTGTGGTCACAAAAGAAGTTTCTACATGCAGACTTACACTGTGTGACTATAGTGGTCGGTTCTCCAGTTGTGGATAGAACTAGTAAGAAAGAACAGAATCAATCAGATTGTGGTAGAATGTGTTAATATTAAGCCAAACATTGAACAACCAGACCTTCTCTCCATGGAACTCTGACAACTGTAGCTTTGAGAGGGCGATGAAGACCTCCTAACAATTCTCCACACCCTTAACAAGCTAAAATTCCCAAGAATCTTTGGGGAAAGTATCTGTGGCACAAGTGGCAATCCTTGTAGTAAGGGCCTGAAGGTATACTACTCAGTATAACTAACACTGGATATATTTTAGTGGACCACCAAACCCAAGAAGCATCTAGCCTCAGCACTACTGCATCAGGATAGAAATGGAAGATTTCTAAAAAGCTGATGGTAGTTTGTTCCTAGAAGAAAAGAAATGGGGAACAAAGTTGTAACCAAAAGCCAGGTTGCTATGCCATGCCTAATACAGCTCAGTAAAGGTAAAGGTACCCCTGCCCATGCGGGCCAGTCGTGTCTGACTGTGGGGTTGCGCGCCCATCTCGCTTAAGAGGCCGGGGGCCAGCGCTGTCCGGAGACACTTCCGGGTCACGTGGCCAGCATGACGAAGCTGCTCTGGTGAGCCACCGCAGCACACGGAAATGCCGTTTACCTTCCCACTATAAAGCAGTACCTATTTATCTACTTGCACTTAGGGGTGCTTTCAAACTGCTAGGTGGGCAGGAGCTGGGACCGAACGATGGGAGCTCACCCTGCCGCGGGGATTCGAACCGCTGACCATGCGATTGGCAAGTCCTAGGCGCTGAGGTTTTACCCACAGCGCCACCCGCGTTACAAGATACCTATTTCCTCCAGTTTCTTACACACACACACACACACACACACACACACATAATTTCCATTCAATTTTCCAAACTGTTTTTCAAAAGTCGGTTCAATTTCTTCCTTGTTTTGAAATAATGACTCAGTTACCTTTGGAACATATATCACTAATACTTTCAGACTTTCAAATATGTACTAGCAACTACACCTAAGAGCTCCCCCCCCCAATTCTTAATCGATTTCCCACTATGTATGTTTCATACTTCATGCCTATTGAGAAAGATTCAGACTTGGAATAAAAAAAGTAGGACTCACCAGGAGGAGTAGAAGAAGCTGTTCACAAATAATACAATTAAAGGGAGAGCATTTAAAATGAATGACATAAAAGAAAAAGAACAAGGTCTTACCAGATGTTGATTCATTGAGAGGTGGTTCAGTAGTTGTTTCTATTCCTATTTAGGTAAACAAATAGTACAATAAAAGTACTATTACACTGATGTTAAGATCCTAGCAGTAATATATCCAATAACCTAGGAACATATGGCAGCTATTCTTCATTGACAAAAGTCACCAGTGTGTGTGTGTGTGTGTGTGTGTGTGTTTGTGTGCGCGCGCGCGCACACGCCTTATTTATACAGCAAAAAAATATCAATACAATTAAAGGGAGAACATTTAAAATGAAATGCAAGTAAATCAGGATGCTTAAAACATACAAAAAGCCTGGTGGAATAAAATATTCTCCTACAACATTAACAAAAAAAGGTGTCAGTGGCGAGATGCTGCTTCAGTTGTTGCTAAAGTGAAGCATTGCCTTATTCTTCAAAGTGTGCATGTCAAGGGGCTAGAAATTTTAACATGGCAGAAAATTGTGCATTCAGATGGTCCCTCACAGGAAAAATACCTTTGATCTATCCAACTGCAAACTGATACCATTCATGCAAACAGGAAAGTTAAGCAAAGTAAATATCCTATTCATCTCTGGATAAGTCACAGAAACTGTGCCATAATCCGACCAGCCTATGGGTTTGTATGTTGGTATGATCCTAGACAAAGGGTGGGGAGCCTGTGGCCCACCCAATGTTGCTAGATCACAACTCACATCATCCCTGATCTTTGCCTATGCTGGCAGGGATTGATGGGAGTTGGAGACCATCTGGAGAACCACAAGTTCCCCATCTCTGCCCAAGACATATGTTGATTTTCAGCTTACATTGCATCCTCAAACCAGAACAACATTAATCTAACACAACAGATACTAGAAATGTCCTAGAACTAGATAAATAGATAACTCTTACTTAATGGAATAGAATAGTAAGAAGCATAAAACCCATTTCCTGAGTAATATGAATCTCTGTGCAGCAGAATAGTCATGGTGTTGGAAGTTGATATGTAGGTATAGTTGAGATAGATGCCAGAGCAAGTTCTTCCAAGCGGAGTGGAGACATGTGGGTACCCATCGAAGATCTCAATATATTCTTTATTGCAGTCCAGACTGTATAAAGGTAGGTCAGCAAGTCACTCTTTGTGTATAAAATTATGCCATCATTTCATACATCAGATTTTCACATTAAGTAAAGAAAAGTTACATAGGTTGCTTATATATGGCGGTTCAATTTCATAATGGGTCACTATCACAAATGATTCACTGACAATAGCGTTATCGTTCTTTACTTATCAGGGTTTCCCTGGAAATAATAAATGCAGGAGGGGGCAGATATGGGCTGGCATTTTGATGACAATGACAATGTTTGGACACTGCAAATCACATGTACATATGAGGAGCAAAGATGTCACATTGAACATTCAAGTGAACATTCAAGCACCCTTTGATTCTCTCTTTGGTGACACATATGCCAGAATATAAAGGTAAATACATAGATTCAGTGGAGCTGACCTGAATTCCGAACATATTAAAGTAATGTTATGATTGGTTCTGCCCGTGAGAACCCCACCCTACATCTATGATACTATGGAGATGGTTCAGTAAATGTCAGCTGAGTGATAAGCTAGGTGGCTGATGAGGCTCTCAGATGTATCCCAGATTAGCTCAACCTAAAAGAGTGGCATGCCTATGTACATATCAAGGTCATGTCAGACCTCTGCCCCATTACGTCCAGTACAGTCTGCTCCACCTGGCAATGGCTTTCCAGTGTCACAGTTATAGGTCTTTCCCAGCCTTGCTCCTGAAAATGCCCAGAATTCAAATATTCAAATTTACAAATTTATTCAAATATATATGCATACAATTTAACCACTTTGCTATTGAATGATGTCTCCTCTGGCTGGAACAGCATAATTTGCTTTAAAGACAAGATTCACAAAATACTTGTCTTTTTTACTCATCTTTCAATGCCTCAGTGAAAGGGCCTGTCCTTCATATTTCCTAAGAAAGCATTAAAAAGTGGGCCCTTTTGTTTTCAGGAAAGGGCCAATATCTACCACTTGTAGAGTTTGTAATAAAAATGTGTTTATGATGTATTTTCTTTGGAAGGTTTTTAATTTGTATGGGATTTCATCTCGTGTAGGGCAGAATCGCATGATCAGTTAGCAGGATTCAATCTGATGGCTATCACATGCTAAGTTTGTTGGATAGAATCAGGGTCCCTCATGCAGAGAGTTCTGCTTGTGTTCAAGTGAATACAAGTAGAAATTCTATGCAGACCCTCCCTGTGCGACACAGAGAAGGTTGGAGGCTGAGAGGGAAGGAGCAAAGCAGGCAGCCAGGTTAAGGGCAGGGCTTGCATAAACATTCTGACCTCCCTACAAAGTTCGGTGCTTACAAATTCAGGCAAACACCTCAACACATCTATCTTTTCAAGCACAGAGAAGAACAGCCACCCATAAGCTATTAAAGTCTTCAGGTAATGACAAAACCATGAATTAACATCATGTGCAGGTGCCTGTGGAAAATGGAAAAACATTCAGTTCCTTACACTTACCGAATATAAGAAAACTGGAGAACTATTTGTCTATCAGGGCTCACTTGAATTTCCCAGCTACACTGTATAATGGCACCGTTTCCAGGATAATATGGTCCAGAGATAGATCCATTTGGAAGGGAGAGATAGCCACCACATACTAGAAAACACAATATTTTGTGCATGTAAGCCAAAAGAGAATTTTGTACAGAGAAATCTGAAATGAAATCCAGCTTAATTTAAACTCTTCCTCCCTCCCTCCCCCAACTTGATTGCATTAACTCTCTCCTTCTGTTATTAATAAGCAAATAATTGGCCCTTTTAGGTTGAAGCTGGAGGCCTCCAATATCCTTGCCCCTATTAAATTACTAATATATTTGTGGGCAGGATGTTTTTAATGCATTTCTCTTTCCTCTTGGTTTTACTTCATCTCATGGGTGAGAGTTGCTTGTCTGTTTGGTTGGTTGTAAATCACTTTGTTGTTAAATAGGTTAATTAATTAGTTATCAGGTAGTTAAGGTTTGGTGAGCATCCTTAGGTACTTTTCTGAGCCTTGCCTTCTGAGTTGTGAGACCCACTGACAGAATAAGAAGTACCTTTGAGGCCAACCTGTAAAACCCCATCTAAGTTATGGGGCTTAAGGTGAAATGATGCCTCTTATTCTGGTCAGAGTCAGTTCACCCTATTTGCTATTTGAAGATAGTATTGTGCACTTTGGTTCCCTTCAGCAGATCTGTTGTGTTAAATTAAATGTGGCTCATTCCGCCCAGTCTGTGTATCTTATTTCCCTATGTGGTTACAAAAGATGTTTCAAGCATGCAGATTTATGCTTACATTCTACTTACATTCCATTCAATTTTCCAAAATCTTTATTCAAAAGTCTGTTCAATTTATTCTTTGTTTTGAAATAATGACTCAGTTACCTTTGGAACATATATCATGAATGCTTTCAAACTTTCAAATATGCACTAGTAACAACACCTAAGAGCTCCCCCCCCCCATTCTTAATCAATTTCCCAGTATTTATCTTTCATACTTCATGCCTATTGAGAAAGATTCAGCCTTGTAATGAAAAAGTAGGACTCACCAATAGGAGTAGAAGGAGCTGTTCACAAAGAAAGAGGAACATTGATATGCATTGGTAAGTAATAGGCATGCCACTATTATAGTTAATATTCATCAGTATTTTTACCCAGTGAACCCAGCAACCCTGTGCCCCTTGAGGGAACTGCCCTGTGGGCCACAGAAATAATCAGATCTCCCTCCGTCAGAGCAGAGGGAGATGTCTGAGGTTGACCTTGGTTCCCTTCTGCAGATTTGTAGTGTTAAATTAAATGTGGCCCAGTTCACTCAATGTGTGTGTCTAATTTCCCGGTGTGGTCACAAAAGAAGTTTCTACATGCAGACTTACGATCTATTACTTTAGTGGTCAGTTCTCCAGTTGTGGATTGAACTAGTAAGAAAGAACAGAATCAATCAGATTGTGGTAGAATGTGTTAATATTAAGCCAAACATTGAACAACCAGACCTTCTCTCCATGGAACTCTGACAACTGTAGCTCTGAGAGGGGAATGGGGGCCTCCTAACAGTTCTCAGCACCCTAAACAAGCTAAAATTTCCAAGAATCTTTGGGGAAAGTATCTGTGGCACAAGTGGCAATCCTTGTAGTAAGGGCCTGAAGGTATACTACTCAGTATAACTAACACTGGATATATTTTAGTGGACCACCAAACCCAAGAAGCATCTAGCCTCAGCACTACTGCATCAGGATAGAAATGGAAGATTTCTAAAAAGCTGATGGTAGTTTGTTCCTAGAAGAAAAGAAATGGGGAACAAAGTTGTAACCAAAAGCCAGGTTGCTATGCCATGCCTAATTCTGCTCACTACAAGATATCTATTGCTTCCAGTTTCTTACACACACACACACACACACACACACACACACACACACAAACACACACACACAAAATTTCCATTCAATTTTCCAAACTGTTTTTTAAAAGTTGGTTCAATTTCTTCCTTGTTTTGAAATAAGGACTCAGTTACCTTTGGAACATACATCACTAATACTTTCAGACTTTCAAATATGTACTAGCAACTACGCCTAAGAGCTCCCCCCCCCCCAATTCTTAATCGATTTCCCACTATGTATGTTTCATACTTCATGCCTATTGAGAAAGATTCGGTCTTGGAATAAAAAAAGTAGGACTCACCAGGAGGAGTAGAAGAAGCTGTTCACAAAGAAAGAGAAACATTGATATGCATTGGTAAGAAATAGGCATGTCACTATTATCTATTAATATTCATCAGTATTTTTACCCAATGAAGCCAGCAACCCTGTGCCCCTTGAGGGAACTGCCCTGTGGGCCACAGAAATAATCAGATCTCCCTCCATGAGAGCAGAGGAGATGTCTGAGGTTGACCTTGGTTCCCTTCTGCAGATTTGCAGTGTTAAATTAAACGTGGCTCAGTTCATCCAATGTGTGTGTCTTATTTCCCGGTGTGGTCACAAAAGAAGTTTCTACATGCAGACTTACACTGTGTGACTATAGTGGTCGGTTCTCCAGTTGTGGATAGAACTAGTAAGAAAGAACAGAATCAATCAGATTGTGGAAGAATGTGTTAATATTAAGCCAAACATTGAACAACCAGACCTTCTCTCCATGGAACTCTGACAACTGTAGCTTTGAGAGGGCAATGAGGGCCTCCTAACAATTCTCCACACCCTTAACAAGCTAAAATTCCCAAGAATCTTTGGGGAAAGCATCTGTGGCACAAGTGGCAATCCTTGTAGTAAGGGCCTGAAGGTATACTACTCAGTATAACTAACACTGGATATATTTTAGTGGACCACCAAACCCAAGAAGCATCTAGCCTCAGCACTACTGCATCAGGATAGAAATGGAAGATTTCTAAAAAGCTGATGGTAGTTTGTTCCTAGAAGAAAAGTAATGGGGAACAAAGTTGTAACCAAAAGCCAGGTTGCTATGCCATGCCTAATTCTGCTCACTACAAGATATCTATTGCTTCCAGTTTCTTACACACACACACACACACACACACACACACACAAACAGACACACACAAAATTTCCATTCAATTTTCCAAACTGTTTTTTAAAAGTTGGTTCAATTTCTTCCTTGTTTTGAAATAAGGACTCAGTTACCTTTGGAACATACATCACTAATACTTTCAGACTTTCAAATATGTACTAGCAACTACGCCTAAGAGCTCCCCCCCCCCAATTCTTAATCGATTTCCCACTATGTATGTTTCATACTTCATGCCTATTGAGAAAGATTCGGTCTTGGAATAAAAAAAGTAGGACTCACCAGGAGGAGTAGAAGAAGCTGTTCACAAAGAAAGAGAAACATTGATATGCATTGGTAAGAAATAGGCATGTCACTATTATCTATTAATATTCATCAGTATTTTTACCAAATGAAGCCAGCAACCCTGTGCCCCTTGAGGGAACTGCCCTGTGGGCCACAGAAATAATCAGATCTCCCTCCATGAGAGCAGAGAGAGATGTCTGAGGTTGACCTTGGTTCCCTTCTGCAGATTTGCAGTGTTAAATTAAATGTGGTTCAGTTCATCCAATGTGTGTGTCTAATTTCCCGGTGTGGTCACAAAAGAAGTTTCTACATGCAGACTTACACTGTGTGACTATAGTGGTCGGTTCTCCAGTTGTGGATAGAACTAGTAAGAAAGAACAGAATCAATCAGATTGTGGAAGAATGTGTTAATATTAAGCCAAACATTGAACAACCAGACCTTCTCTCCATGGAACTCTGACAACTGTAGCTCTGAGAGGGGAATGGGGGCCTCCTAACAGTTCTCAGCACCCTTAACAAGCTAAAATTTCCAAGAATCTTTGGGGAAAGTATCTGTGGCACAAGAGGCAATCCTTGTAGTAAGGGCCTGAAGGTTTACTACTCAGTGTAACTAACACTGGATATATTTTAGTGGACCACCAAACCCAAGAAGCATCTAGCCTCAGCACTACTGCATCAGGCTAGAAATGGAAGATTTATAAAAAGCTGGTGATGTAGTCGTGGACTACTCCTGGTTTGCGCGCTCATCTCACTCTGTAGGCTAAGGGAGCTGGTGTTTGTCTGCAGACAGCTTCCGGATCATGTGGCCAGCATGATTAAGCCACTTCTGGTGAACCAGAGCAGCGCTCGGAAACGCTGTTTACCTTCCCGCCGGAGTGGTACCTATTTATCTACTTGCACTGGACATGCTTTCAAACACAGCTCAGTATTTGCTTCCAGTTACACACACACACACACACACACACACACACACACACAATTTCCATTCAATTTTCCAATCTCTTTTTCAAAAGTTGGTTCAGTTTCTTCCTTGTTTTGAAATATTGACTCAGTTACCTTTGGAACATGTATCACTAATACTTTCAGACTTTCAAATATGTACTAGCAACCACACCTAAGAGCTCTTTCCCCCAATTCTGAATGGAATTTCTACTAGGTATCTTTCATACTTCCTGCCTATTGAGAGAAAGATTCAGTCTTGTCATTGGCAGAGGTTCTGTGGTTTCTGGTTGGAAAAGTTGCTCCACTAATTACACTTACATGCCAGCTGAGTCTTATGCAGAGACTTCAGTTCCTAAGCTTTGAGTGTGTCATAGCAACAACAGTCACCACAATCTAATGATTAGAAGTCAGGTACTAAGAGGAACTGAATAACCTCTGCAGAGGCGACTCCAACATCTACCACATTAACATAAATTATTCGCACGACACCTTAGCCCCATATTCAAGGAGAATATTTCAGCAAATATTCAAGGAGGATGTTTCAGCAAGGTGGATGTGACTATGCTTGTTTCAAGACCAGACTTGAGGAACAGAGTCATAGACAATGGCATACAAATGAAATAGAAGTCAAGGAAATCTCTGGAAGAGATTTGTGCTTGCTTCTCCAGACAGTCTGTGATTGCCATCAACAGATCAGGCTCTTCAAAATATACATACCACCTAATTTTCAGGTTTCTCGTTAGCAGATGCTCTGCATGAGAAACCTGTTCTATGATATTTCTGTGTACATACTCAGGATTAGGATTTAGTACTTTAGTATGGGAGTCAGAGTACTCTTACCAGCAGCAGTAGTTGCTTCTGTAGTTGCTTCCGGGGTGACAGAAGCTAGTTCGTGAAGAGAAACAAAGTAACAGAGTAAGAGAAAATGGTGCAGTAAAATGAAATCAAAACTGTATATTGTACTAATGCTTTTAAATATCTAGCAGATTCTTCTTACTAGGATCAATGTGTTCTGTGGTTGTTTCTTGCAAAATGTGTTCTGTAGTTGTTTCTTGCAAGATGTGTTCTGTGGTTGTTTCTTGCAAAAGAAAGGAATAAAAATTCTTAAGAACTATATTACATTGAAACCCCATTTTTGTGGCAGTGAATTTTGTTTGACCATTAGAAGATCTAACATATAGTATTTACTTATGAATGAATGAAAGGTGAATTGTTGGGGAATGAGAAGACAAATAAAAGAAGGGAATAGAAATCCAATATGTACTCTTGTCCTTCAAGCCTATAGTCCCCTGGGGCAGTAAGGCCCTCTGGTAGTAAGGGAGTAAGGCTAGACTGGTGACTGGGAGTGGCCGCCGAGACCACATAACACCGGTCTTGAAAGACCTACATTGGCTCTCAGTACATTTCCGAGCACAATTCAAAGTGTTGGTGTTGACCTTTAAAGCCCTAAACGGCCTCGGTCCAGTATATTTGAAGGAGCGTCTCCACCCCCATCGTTCTACCCAGACACTGAGGTCCAGCACCGAGGGCCTTCTGGCGGTTCCCTCACTGCGAGAAGCCAAGTTACAGGGAACCAGGCAGAGAGTCTTCTTGGTAGTGGCACCCACCCTGTGGAACGCCCTCCCATCAGATGTCAAGGAAATAAACAACTATCTGATGTTTAGAAGACATCCGAAGGCAGCCCTGTTTAGGGAAGTTTAATGTATTTTTAATCTTTTTTTGGAAACTGCCCAGAGTGGCTGGGGAAACCCAGCCAGATGGGCGAGGTATAAATAATAATAAAGAAATAATAATAATAATAATAATAATAATAATAATAATAACAACAACAATGGATCTCCCTCTCCGAGGGTGGAAAGAGGGGTTGGAGAGAGAGATCAGGTGATGAATCCCTCTACTTCACTGCCACAGAAGTGTCCCCAGTACTTGCCCTAATGAAATCAAAAGGGCCGGAAAAGTGGCAGACCAGGGTGCAGAAGCTTCTTTACTTAAGCAACATTTACCCACACTAGGGAAAATTCAGCTCCTTCCCAACCATAAGAATCCAGTGCCATCCCAGTCACCTCCCAAACCAGCCCTGATGTCCTTATCAACATGCCGTTTCATATTTTTTTACCATTTAGTACACATTTAGTGTTATCACATTTACCATTTACCAGTTCCACACCCACCCAATCTGGATTAATTAGGAAAATAATATGGGACTGCAATTGGACAAGGACTGTGCCATGTAGATGCTGTGCAAAACATGCATGCATGAGCACAGGTCCACAATAAACCGTCGTGTGAACAGACCCAGTAAATGCAACAGGTTTGAAGTCCTGTTTCTGGACTTCCCAAAATGATGGGCTACGAGGATATTCAGTCTTATTAGGCAGGACTCTTTTTATATATTCTTATGCAATTTTCAAAGAAGCATAAGGATCCATTCATGAAAGCAGCAGATTGAATATATTTGTTGATTAATAGATGACTTTAAAAATCACATTTTACCTTGTGGCGTAATATAGTAATAAGCAGTAAATGATGGTCCTGCATTAAAGGAATTTCTGTACAACACAACAGTCATTGTGTTTGAAGTGGATATAAATACATGACGGGTAGCCAAGCAAATTCTTCCAAGTTGTCTTGATGAGCCCAGGCCACCATCATAGACGGCAATATAGTCTGTGCGGCAGTTCAAACTGTAGATGCAAATTTAGAAGTTATTATTTATTATTCATATTAATGGAGCCACGTAAAAACTCTATTTCTATCCCTCGCAACTAGCAATTCCTCAAGACATGGCATGTTAGATTATGCTGAGAGACTGGCAAAAAATTGATTACCAAATATTGGAAATACACTCAATCATCCTCCATAAATCTGAGTAATTGAAAAAATATGGGGTCAGCCTCACATTTACAGTCAGATTTTAGCAATGTTTTCTAAGTTATATGGATGTAGACAGGCATTGGGAGAAAGCTTTAAGTTACCAAGCTGTGGTGAATACTATCTAATTTGATTCAAGTTGTTGAGTACATGTAATGCAATGTATATAATATGTCACAGAATAAGTATTATAAAAACAAAAATACTAAGTAATACATATTCTTCACAGTAATTAAAAGCCCTGGATGTGTGTGAGAGAGGCATTCCATTCTCCCCCTCTATTCTCCTTTCAATATTCCCGTATTCATTGGGGCTCATTGTAGGCATTTGTGTGAACTATATCACGTATATACGTATATGGGACTGGATTGAAAAACTCTGAATTGTATCTTGCCCATTGCCTTCTTATGTACAGTCATACCTTAGGAGTGGAACAGCTTAGTTCCCGAATGTTTTGTCTCCCGGTAGTCGCAAACCCAGAAGTGACTATTCCACTTTGTGAACTATTTTTGGAAGCCAAATGTCCGATGGGGCTTCCATGAATATCAATCAGAAGCCATGCTTTGGTTTTCGAACGTTTTGGAAGTCAAACGGACTTCTGGAATGGATTCCGTTCGACTTCCAAGGTACGACCGTATCTGGTCCTGGGTGATTCTGGCTACCTCACTTGATTGTTCTAGACATCAAAAATTATCTTGGACTCAAACATTTTTGACCATATCCACATCGGGAAGCCATGCAAGGCTGTTGCAGCAAAAAACAATGAAGGTTCTGTGTAAAAGGTCTTGCCCAAAGGCCGTTAAAGACTAAAGAATATTAAATGCTGTTTGTCTTTAAATGTGTCGGTCTTTAAGATGGCACAAAACTCCATGTTGTTTAGGAGCATTTTACTGGTTGCAAAAACAGATTTAGAAATTAATCAGTCAAATGTACAGAAAGGACTACGATAATGCAAATACTTACTTCCAACCAACTGATTTAAACTGTAAAACAACTCTATTGTAAAACATTGGAGCTTTAATTTCCCAGGCACACTCCACCAGCCTGCCATATCCAGGATAATCAGGGCCATAGATATATCCATATGGTTCCGAGAGGATGCCACCACACTGGAAGGGCGCTGAAGAACACAGACAGAACATTTTGTAGAGCCAGGCTCAGTTGTCATTATGCGCAAGGTATTGTAGAGATAATCTCCTCTATAGCAACATTAGCACTGCATTTTAGATCTTCCCTCAAACCCCAGGCATCTAGGACTAAAATTTCACCTAGGCACATTGGGAACACCCAACTCAGGGGGCTGGAAATATAGGATTTCTCAGAAGGCGATGATCATTTGTTCAGAGAACAAAGAAAGCAAGGAACAAAAATGTTAACTTTACATCCCAGGGCAAGATGACCATACTTTCAGTTGTGTGTGTGTTTGTATATGTAATTTTCCAAAGGCTTAAAGTCTATTCTGTTTCTACTTTGTGTCAAAACAAATATTAATCTACCTTTGGGTCATTTCTCGCTAACACTCATACAGGTTCCTGCGGTGGAGGCTGATTT